GCTCAGCCATTCCGATCTGACACACCTGTACATTGCGACCAAGTGCAGTCGACAACGACAACAGGGCGTTTTTACCGTAACAAGCCGGAGCGACCACCAGATAGGAGAAGGGACCAAATAAATCAGTCGGCCGTTTAAATACCCTGTGGCCTGATTTTTCCCCATCTTCCGTCTATTAACTGCCAATGTTTCTCCTATTTGCCGGTTGGCATTTTCAAACCAGGATAAACCTTCAAAGACCTTTAATCTGTTGTACTGTAGTCCTTGTCGCTTCCACCCTATTACACTAAATATGCCTTTTATACCTAAATATGTCTGTTATAACTATTAAAAGTAATGTGAAATAAAAAGTAAATGTTTTTCTTACTGTAAGGGTAAAGACATTTAAAAAAAAATTGAATTTTATTTTTCAGTTGTGAAAAATGATTGTGGAATCCTGAATGGCTGGCCACATAACTGTAGTGATTTTCCCAACTCTGAGTGCAGAGCTGCAGAATTTACATCTACTACTGGATCAACAACGTTGCCAACAGCAACAGCAAGTACTGTTACATTACCTACTGTGATATCTGAAACAACGGCTGTAGAAACAACATCTGAGTCCACAAAAACTTCTATCCAGACTGAATGTGAGTCTGACTGTTGGTTTAAATTGTTCATTTCTTTCAGAACCATCTTCATTGGGCATTGAATAGGCAGTTAATTTACTTTTTTTTTTTTAGTTGTAGAAATAGTGAAGAAATTGTTATACAAAAGGTATCAAGCCTAAGCTCTCAGTTCTATACCAACAACAAAACAGTATAAAACAGGAGTCATCAATGCAAACCCTAAGAAACATGCTTAGGAGAAGACTGAACATTTCAAATGTAAAATTAGCTTACTTTAATTAAAAAATGTTTGTAGAAAAATTAATCTCAGAGAAAATTAAATTTAAATTGTAATTGCATCATACCACTTGCTGCGTTTTCTTTCTGAATTCTTTTGATACCTACCACAACTCTTTTTATATCTAGCAACTCACCTTAGGCTTTCATTAGTTAATGAACATTTCTGATTCTTCTAATTAATCTGAATTATTATATTCCTTCTGCAGAAAGTGTCATTTTTCTTTTGTTTTGTTCTTTCTTAGACTTATTCACTGCCTGCCTTAGATTATCTCATGATGTAAGGAGTTGGAGTAATTGTAGGCTGGAAGTGAAAGAGTTCAATAATAATTTCTTAGGATATGAGTTGGAATTCTGAGGAGATAAAGAGTTAAAGTAATTTTCAGGATTTAAGTTGAGGTAATTCTTAGATGAGTTAATTTTCAGGAGATAAGTTGAGGTAATTCTCAGGAAATTAGTTAAAATAATTTTCAGGAGATAAGTTGAGGTAATTCTCAGGAGATAAGGAGTTAAAATAATTTTCAGGAGATCAGTTGAGGTAATTCTCCGGAGGTTAGGAGTTAATTTTCAGGAGATGAGGTAATTCTAAGGAAATTAGTTAATTTTCAGGAGATAAGTTGAGGTGATTCTCAGGAGATAAGTAGTTAATTTTCAGGAGGTAAGTTGAGGTGATTCTCATTAGATAAGTAGTTAATTTTCAGGAGATAAGTTGATGTAATTCTTAGGAGATGAGTTAAAGTACTTTTCACATGATAAGTTGAAGTAATTTTCAGGAAATAATGAGTTAAAGTAATTACAGGCTAATACCAAAGAAGTTAATATTTACACTGCTTTAAATATATTTTATTTATCTCTACAGTTCAATGTGTGCCTTTCAACTTCGCAATGTGCAATGCCTTGGGTTTCAATGAGACAGTATTACCAAGTATTGCATTCCAATGTTATGATATCCAGTGCCTTATTGAGGTAACTTTGTTATGGGTTCAAGTTTATTTCATCGTTTATGAAACAAAAACTATTTTAACACAATCATTAAATAGCAGGTCAGAGTTGCTCCCATAAGATTTCACATGTTTTTATTTTCAGTCTTACCAGAGTTCCTGTATTTGATTTCTAGTGTTTCCAAGAGAAAAAAGATCAGGAATTTAAAATGGAATTTCTGTGCAGGGCATTCTGGCTTGCTGGGTAACAAGCATGCTGACTGGCTGCTACTGATCCTCTGGGTGGTATCTGTTTATGCTAAAGTGGATGCGGTAAAGGCTCTTTGGGATTAAGTGAACAGTGCAAAAGAACAATCAGAGCATTTATACCATGAGAGATTCAGGGAGAAGTGAGCAGAGGAACTGAATGGTATTCAACATACAGGAGAACAGACAAAGTGGACTTGTTATGATGCTGCAACTGGCACCATCAGTATGGGAACTCTTTGTTGGAAGAAGAGCACAGAACACATGTGGGAATGAATAGATTGCAGTGAAACTAATTTTTGAATAATTCACTCATTCTTACCACCTATTTTATTATATTTGCAGAGACTTATGCTTGTTCAGTGTCCAGATTGCTGGGCCATACATTTGAGTTTTTTGCATAATATTTGACAATTCATTTTTGTCCAAATGGACACATTTTTTAAATATTTTTTAATTCTCATGATTTACAATGGTATAGTTTTTAGACAGAATGAGTTGAAACTGTACTGAGGTATAATGTGTAAGCATAATAATAGAATTACAATTCAGAAGTTATAAAATAGACAATACATTGAGTAGTCATCAAATGAATGACTAATCTTATCTTATCTGTTACAACATGAATTGAAAGATCTCTTCTTCTTCACTTTATCTTTTACTACTTTAGATGCTAAGAGAAATAGAAGATTTTTGTTAATAGTGTTCTGAGTTAACCACAGACACTTATGCTAGAAACATAACATCTTGTAGGGAGTCGGCAGTCCGAAACCCAAGTTCAAGGTGTCCCCTTCGTGCCAAAAGGTAGTTGTAGGGGCGACGCTTGCTGGTAGATGTAATGTCTTAAGTCCCTTCCCAAGCTAATCGTGAGGGTACTGCTGGGGTCACCGTTCATTAACCCTCACATAATGCTTCAGGTCAAAATGGACGCTAGGCACGGCCACTTCCTTTAGCCGTGGCAAATTTTTTTTTGTTGCTTCTGCCAGACGGTGGCCGTTACATTTTTTATCTCCATTTGTAGACTGGAAGGATATAGTTTTGTTACCCAGCCTCTGAGTTGAGTGCATGGCATGACACTGTGAGCTGTGGATTTCATTTGAAATCTGATGAACATTTTGTGTGTTTCATTGGCACAGGAGCAAAGCAACTATGGGGTAACCCGTTTGCTATGAAGGTGAAACTAAGATTACCAGATTACTTATGCTAGAGTTTATCTATTACCTGCCACCTTGTTCTTTGTCTCTCTTGGGCTCTCTTTTATGTCCCTCTTCTATTTTGATAAATTCATGTAAGCTATTTTCTCTAAGTGGACAAACAATTTTACTAACTGTATTTGTAATTTTATATTGGTTCTGAGCTGATTATTTTTCACTTATGCCCTTTTCTCTTCTAGTCCCACAGTCTTTCTAAGACATTTCATTTCCATGGTTATTGAATTTCATTTCCATATTTTTTTTGTGAGGGACCATGTCTGGTACTGGGGGCATATGGTGAGAATTAACATACTTTTCATGAAAAGTTAATTTGTGCTAATTAAAATATTAACTCTTTAGAGTTAAGAGGACATGCTTATGTAAAAGGAAATAAATAGGTTTGCAGGTGATTAGTAGACAGGCTGATGTACTGAATTTACTACAAGATGTAAGACATTTGTATATGAGAATCGAGTAGTGGCTGATTCTACAACTATGATCATACTGCAAGAAGAGCAAGTTAAAAGGGGTGTGGCCAAAAAAAAAAAACAGAGTACTATGCAGAGAGTCTAAGAAAAATTATTAACAGAGAGCTGGTGTCATTGGCTGCTACACACTGAGAAACTTACCAAGGAATGGATTTGAGCACATTTGGACTGAATCATTTAATGTGCAATGGATTTTCTTCTTCTTGTTCACTGGCTGGAAACTTTTTTTTTTTTTTTTTTTTTTCATCGCTGGACTTTTTAATTTTTGCTCCATAAACTGAGTGTTGCATGCACATCCATTTTACAGAACTGACTTATATATATATACAGATTGTAGGTTCCTTGCCTCTCAGGCAGATGCACTCTGACTTCAATACTTGTTGGGGAAGCAGTAAGATTTATTCTTGTTTTCTCTATAATTTGTTTTCTCCACAATCTGGCAAGTGCAAGATTACAAACTGACCCAAAGATTTACGAGATTACAAACTGACCCAAAGAGTTATGAGCTTACAAACTGACCCAAAGAGTTATGAGCTTACAAACTGACCCAAAGAGTTATGAGCTTACAAACTGACCCAAAGAGTTATGAGCTTACAAACTGACCCAAAGAGTTATGAGCTTACAAACTGACCCAAAGAGTTACGAGCTTACAAACTGACCCAAAGAGTTATGAGCTTACAAACTGACCCAAAGAGTTACGAAATTACAAACTGACCTAAAGTTACAAAATTACAGACTGACCCAAAGAGTAATGAGATTACAAACTGACCCAAAGAGTAATGAGATTACAAACTGACTCAGAGTTACGAGATTACAAACTGACTTAAAGAGTTACGATATTACAAACTGACCAAAAGCGTTACGAGATTACAAACTGTTCCAAAGCATTACGAGATTAAAAACTGTCCCTAAGAGTTACGAGATTAAAAACTGTCCCAAAGAGTTACAAGATTACAAACTGTCCCAAAGAATTATAAGATTACAAACTGACCCAGTTAACGAGATAACAAACTGACCCAAAGAGCAAAGAGTTACGAGATTACAAACTGACCTAAAGTTACGAGATTACAAACTGACTTAAAGTTACGAGATTACAAACTGACCCAAAGAGTTACGAGATTACAAACTGACCCAAAAGTTACAAGGTTACAAACTGTCCCAAAGAGTTACAAGGTTACAAACTAACCCAAAGATTTACAAGATTACTAACTGTCCCAAAGAGTCACAAGATTACAAACTAACCCAAAGAGTTACGAGATTACAAACTGTCATTTCCATTTCAGAAATTTAATAACTTTGTGGAGCAGAGTCTAGCAAATGGATGCACAAATGATCTGACTTTTTTCTGTGCCTATACATTCCGTGGTTGCAACAAAGAAAACATGCTGGATGCTATTGGACCTTGTTTTGAAACGTGTATTGGTAATGTCAGTTTTCTTTTGAGTTTTATATTACATTAGCCAGTCATCTGATAGTGTATCTTGCAACCATTAATTACATTGTAATCAAAAAACATGTCAAGACAAGGACACTTTTCTTGCCAGTGGCAAATCAAGCATGGTGGGCTGGCCCTATAATATGTGTGCTTCATTGAAAGATATAATTCTTGTAACCTTTTTGCTCAGCAAAAAGCATAAAATGTTTTTGTATTTCTATTTAAATAAGAAAAACACACACATCCTTATAATTCTTTTAAATTCTGCCTTAAGAAAGGAACAGAAAAAAAGCATAAAACATAAGTCCTGGTCAGTTTTAATGAAAAATCATATAGGTCAAACTCCTAGACTGCCCAGCAAACAGGCAAGTGTGGAGTCCAGTTTCCTTATGCTTCAAATTGCTTTAAAAAAAACACTTTGTTTTTGTCTTTAAATTCCACAATGAATGCAGGTAAAAAGGAGAGGATGCTTTTCTGTGCTCTAATTAATATTGAGTACATGCACTAAACACATACCGTTTTTAACTAATCAGCATTCTATGGATAGTCAATATCATACTCGACCCCCCCCCCCCCCTCTCCCCCCCCCCCCCTCCCCCCCCCCCCACAATATTTTTCAGTACACATGTTATGCTGTGTTGACCTGAAAGCAGTGTAACTCAAAAAAAAAATTTTTTTTCCTTTACTAGCCAGACAAAAATTAAGTAGATCTGTTTGAAGGTTTGCAGGTCATTGTCAGCACTAGCTTGTTGAAAAGTTGATAAATGTTAAATTTATGTCATACTTGTTGGACTATGTTGTTAGTAGTGTTTGCCATATTTATGAGTGTTAGGTTCTGGTTGTTGTTGCTGTGTTTGAAATATTTATGTTTTCGCTCTTATGGTTGAGATGTTTGGTTTCAGATGCTGTTGACCAATGTGGCAAGTTTATGCCACATCGACCAGAATGTTCTGAATTTAAACCCAGTCATAAGCCATGTATTCCACCTCAGCCTCCGCCAGTTGTTACAACACCACTATGTAAGTCTTTAACTGTTGCAACTTCACTGAATACTTCTTTGGCAACTGTTACAACACAACTGTATAAGTCCTCTCCAACTGTTACAACACCACCGAATAAATCTTTTCCAACTGTTACACCACCATGTATGTCTTCTCCAACTGTTACAACATCACTGTATACTTTTTTAGCAAATGTCAAAACACCACTAAGTAGGCCTCAAACTGTCGCACCACCACTGTGTAAGTCTTTTACATCTGTTGCAACACACTGTGTAAGTCTTCTGCAACTGTTATAAGTTCTAAGCCTTCTCTGTTACAGCACTATCTTAACCCTCTACACCTATTTCACCATATAAACCTCCGTTAAAAAATTATCTATACCCCCTTCATTTTCCCATATAAACTTCTAACTCTTAAAAACTACATGCCTTCTCCACATATCTGACCGTATAAACTTCCAACTGTTGTGATACCATGTAAGCTAAGCTCTCTCCAACTATTTCACCCAAAAATCTTCCCAACTATTATGACACCATCTTATAAAACTTCCAACTGTTACAAACCATCTAATATTCTCTCCAGCCATTTCAGCATATAAACTTTCAATTGTTACACCACCATCTAAGCTCTCTCCAGCTATTTCAACATATAAACATCTGTTACAACACTAAGTTCTGTTCAACAATAAACATCTATCTGTTACAACACTGAGTTCTGTTAGTTTTTACCATGTAAACTTCCCAACTGTGTTACAACACCATCTAAGTTCTCTCCAACTATTTCAACATATAAACCTCTAACTGCTAAACCATTATTCAAGCAATCTCCAATTATTACAATAATGTGCATGCATTCTGCAACTGTTACATTTTACAACCCTTCTGCAACTATTAATTCTAATTTTAAGCTAGGTCTTGCAGCATTTCTGACACACCATTATATATAGTCTATATTCTTGTTTTTTTGTTGTCTGTGGCTTAGGCATTGCGAACAGGCTTCATCATGCCGGGGTGCCAGGTTTGATCCCAGCTGTGGATGATTTGTCTAGCGTTGGTTTTGACAGTGGTTCTGAGAACTGACTGTCCAGAAAGCAATAGCAAACTACTGAACCTAAACTTTGCCTAGAAAAAACCACAACAGCCCCCAAAATAACTGCTGAGGTTTGTTCTGCAATGTCGTTTAAAGGATCCACAACTAACTAATCTTGTTTGACTCCATCACAGATCAGTGTTTTGATCAACCATACAGCTACTGTGCCAATGAAGGTCTCACAAAAATAGAAACAAGTATGCCAGAAGATGACATAAAATTTTTTGAAAAATTTGCGTTACCAACCATCAAGTCTGGGTGCTCTAATGTGGCCAAGTTCTTTTACTGCGGCGTGGTTTTCCCCCTGTGTGATGAAAACAGTGGTCCTAAATATCCTTGCAAAAAATATTGTGTTGGTAAGCATTTAATTCCTTGTCAGCTGAAATTAGTATTTAGGATGTAAAACATATGAAAGTGTGTCTGTGCTTGACCTGATGTCAAGAAAGGGATTCACTAAAACAAAAATGTTGACTTGGAAGCAATTTTTTTGGGGGGAGGGGGGAGGGGGGGAGGGGGGGGGGCAGAAAGCTAGGATGGAAATTTTAAAATGAAGAATAGGAAGAGCTGTTGCAACCTTCATCTAAATATTTCTTTCTACATTTGTCTGCTTTTTCTTCAGCATTCTGAGCCCTTGAAGTTAATTGCTACAGATATCACCCACCTCGATTCATCTGTATGAATGGCCCCATCCTTCCAGTTGTTGACTCCAAGTTTGTAGAATCTCTTGTGATACAGATTTGAACCTAAGATCTTTTGGGCTGGCAGGCGAGTGTCTAGCCTATCCACTACCACAGCTTCTGAATCTGGAATTATCCAATCAAATATTTAGATAAAAAAGTACTGTAAAAGTAGTGACAAATGACACAGTTGAAAAGAAAATAAAAAGACAAAGGAGATAATGTCTGGATGTTTTGGCCACATGGCAGGGGCTGAACAAGAGCACAGATATTACCTAAGACTGAGAGTCGTGTGAGACACCAAACCATGTCAGCTCACATTTGTGAGCATATGATAAAATATTGGGTACACTCCGAGAAGTGAGCAGAGAATCGACAACGGGCACTGAAATGAAAAATATGGACTGAGGAAGCATGGCCAAAAATTAGAAACAAAAAGGAATCTAGATGATAGGCCAAAGGTCCGTCCGTGATATCGAGGGGATTTTTACAGGATGGTATGGTAAAAATAAGCCATGTGTGACAATGACAAATGAATTGAGGAACCAAGGCCAAAAATAAAAAAAATTTAAAAAATTTGTTAAGAGACCAAAGATGCCAGATTTGAATACATCCATGATATCAAAAGGCTTATACAGGAAGGAATGGAAAATTATAACTGAGCCCTTTGGGACAAAACGACAAACTGGTTAGTAATGATCAAATGAGTAAAAAATTAAAACTTCCAGCAAGGTTGATGTAAAAGTTAATTAGCTGTAACAGAGGCTGAAAATTCAATATATTCTGACCATAATCATCCAGCCTGGAATAATCCAGCCTGGAATAGACAACAACAAGTGAACTGTTACAACCAGCTAAAAATACTTATGTTTAGAGTCTTTGCCTGCATTATTCTGCAAGGCACTTGGAGGTGATGATGTTGGTGATAACTGTTTGCTTTATATTCACATGATCATGATTTATTTCTCAGCGTCATTTAGTTTAAAATGCAGTCTTGTTCAGAAATTCATGCGGATGTTGTTGGAGCTGTTGAAATTTGTGCTATGTGTCACATTCTTGACAGATAGTCTATCACTTTTTTTGGAAGGGGGGAGACTGAGCCAAGTGGGATAAAACATGTGCAGTTAATTTGATACTTTAACTTTTTAAGGGATGAGATCTGCTTCTTTTTTTGTTTACCGGCTGTAATTCTGATTGAAGCTCTGTTCGTTCACCGATGTGTGGTCTTTGGTCTAGTTCCAGAATTTGAGTTTTGTGTGCACATCTGTTTTACAGATCTAGCCTATCTGTATGCAGACTGTTGGTTCCTCGCCATTCAGTCAGATGCTTTCTGACTATTAAAAGACCCCTAATTTGTCTACTTTTACTACATTTTGAGCAGGGCAGTGCTTTTATTTATATTAACCCCCCCACCCCCCCCCCCCCCCCCCCCCCCCCCCCCCCCCCCCCCCCCCCCCCCCCCCCCCCCCCCTATAAACCCCTAAATGTTGCCCCTGAACCCACATGGGAGAGAAATGGGATGATTAAGATGTTAAGAGATGAACTGATGATTATAAAGTTGAAAATTATATTATGTTCATTTTGTTGATAATTATGAAGTTAAGAATGTGATTGATAATTATGAAATTAATTGTATGTGGTTAAGCTTTCATTGATTCATTCTTTTATTAAAAAATACTTTATTTCAGAAGTTACAAAACAGTGCCCAGATACGAACATGCCAATGGAGTGTGTCGAGTTTTTTGATGTTGATTGTCTGAACCCTCAGCCCAGCTTAACCACAGAACCCAGTACAAGTACAGAACCCAGTACAAGCACAGAACCCAGTACAAGCACAGAACCCAGTACAAGCACAGAATCCAGTACAAGCACAGAACCCAGTACAAGTACAGAACCCAGTACAAGTACAGAACCCAGTACAAGCACAGAACCCAGGACAAGCACTGAACCCGGTACAAGCACTGAACCCGGTACAAGCACAGAACCCAGTACAAGCACAGAACCAAGTACAAGCATAGAAATTACTACAGGCACAGAACCTAGTACACGTACAGAACCCATTTCAAGTAGAGAGCCCAGTATGAGCACAGAACCCAGCACAGAATCAACAACATACACCATGGAAATGACACCTACACAGCGTAAGGTTTCTGAAACTCATCCTGTACCAATCAACCAATCGTATTTGCCTTTATGTATCTTATCCTTTTTTTCCCCCCCCCATATTGGGGGGTGGGGGGGGGGGGGGGGGGGGGGGGTGGGGTGTGGGTGTGTGGGGAGGGGATCCATGTTTTCTTATACAGTTCTATGTGCCCTCATTACCGATCAATGTTCCCTAATATGCGGATCCATGTTTTAATCAGACAGTTAAATATGCGGATGTTACGGGAACGAGCGTGCAGACTATCTTGCTGACACTGCGATTGCTATGGCTGGTCCAGTACTGGACAGAAATGATGTTAATCAGTGCCATGCACTGCACTTACTGTACTAAGGAGCACGCCAAAGGACATGACTCTGTATCCCTGTCTAACTGATGGACATGGGGGTGCAGCCTGGAGCTGTAAGAAATGAACATCTCACTAAGGGAACAAGACATTTAATTAACCAACACAGAACAGGCATCATCAGTCATTACACTTGTGGAGCTTTTGAGGAGCACCTATGGATCTGTCCGGAGTGCTGAGATGATAATCCTTTCTAATCAGTAATCGCTAATTAGTTGACTTTTTTTTTTAGATAACATTTTCATTGTTGCAGCTGTTTTTGTTGTTGTCTGAAACAGATCTATAGTTCCCTGTGCATATCATTTATATTATATTCAATAGATCCATTAAAAAAAATTAGACATACAATTACTATCCAACTGAAAGTTTCCCAGTTTTCCTTTTTTGGTTCCTAGATATGTTTTAATTATATGTACAGTTACTGTACCACTGAGGATGTTTTGTTGTGTTCCCTTATACAGATTAATTTTTGACCAGACATAATTACTTTACCGTTAAATTTCTGTGTTTTTATTGTTGTTGTACCCTTAGATTAATATTTTAAGATGTACAGTTATTGTGTCATTGAGGGTTTCAGATTTGCTGCTGTTGGTTCCCCATGTCGGCGTCTGTGGCTTTGGCGTTGCGAACAGATTTCGTAATGCCGGGGTTCTGGGTTCGATCCCAGCTGTGGGTCTTGCTCCTTGTGCTGGTTTCGAGTGGTATCGAGAAGCTGACAGTCCAGAAAGCAATGGCAAACTACTGGATGTAAATTTGCCTAGAAAAACAACAGCCCAAAAATGCTGGGGTTCTGCAGTGTGCTGTAAAGGATATGCAACTAACTATAACTTTGTTCCTCATTTAAAAAAATGCCTATTTTGAGCAGATGTACATTTACTATGCCATCGAGAGTTTGATTTGTTTTGTTCCCTTAGATTGTTTTTAGAGGTACGATTGTGGTAACACTGTGGGTTTAAAGTTTTTAAAAAATTTTATTTCCTTAAACAGATGCTTGTTTTGAACAGAAGTACAGTTACTGTGCCGCTGAAGGTTTCACCTCAGTACATGATGTTTCTGAGGTTCCCATCACAGAGTTTGAAAAGTGGGCTTTACCAGTGATTCAAACGAGATGTTCTGATTTTGTCAGATATTTCTTTTGTGCGCTGTTCTTTCCATATTGTGTGGACAATAAATATTCACTACTGCCCTGTCGGACATACTGTATAGGTAATTAATGTGATTGTTAATAATTTTGTTAGCTTTGTTTAGTACCTAATACTCAGTATTCCTTCATTGGTGACTATATAATTGTTGTCAGCATCTGTAGATTAGGGATTAGACTACAAGTTCATAATTGCAAAATGCTGGGTTTGACCCAGCAGTAGATGATTTGGCAGACTACATTGTGTTGATTTTAATAGTTGTATGAGCATTGACTGGGTCCCTAAGGACATCCTCTGTGGTGAATTACAGATGGGTAGAAGTCAAAGCCCACCTCTACTACAATATAAAGATGTGTGCAAGCAGGACATGAATGATAAAGTAATTGAGATGGGCTATAAGGAACAAAATGCAATGGCCCATGTATCATGGAGGGGACACACCATGGAGGGGACACACCATGGAGGGGACACACCATGGAGGGGACACACCATGGAGGGGACACACCATGGAGGGGACACACCATGGAGGGGACACACCATGGAGGGGACACACCATGGAGGGGACACACCATGGAGGGGGACACACCATGGAGGGGACACACCATGGAGGGGACACACCATGGAGGGGACACACCGTGGAGGGGACACACCGTGGAGGGGACACACCGTGGAGGGGACACACGTGGATGGACACACCGTGGAGGGGACACACCGTGGAGGGGACACACCGTGGAGGGGACACACCGTGGAGGGGACACACCGTGGAGGGGACACACCGTGGAGGGGACACACCGTGGAGGGGACACACCGTGGAGGGGACACACCGTCGGGGAGGGGAACACCGTGGAGGGGACACACCGTGGAGGGGACACACCGTGGAGGGGGACACATGGAGGGGACACACCATGGAGGGGACACACCATGGAGGGGACACACCATGGAGGGGACACACCGTGGACACACCATGGAGGGGGACACCGTGGAGGGGACACACCATGGAGGGGACACACCATGGAGGGGACACACCACCGTGGAGGGGACACACCAGGGGACCGTGGGGGACACACCATGGAGGGGACACACCGTGGAGGGGACACACCGTGGAGGGGACACACCGTGGAGGGGACACACCGTGGAGGGGACCCACCAGGGGACACCCGTGGAGGGGACACACACACCGTGGAGGGGACACACCGTGGAGGGGGACACACCGTGGAGGGGACACGTTGGAGGGGACACACCGTGGAGGGGACACACCGGAGGGGACACACCGTGGAGGGGACACACCGTGGAGGGGACACACCGTGGAGGGGACACACCGTGGAGGGGACACACCGTGGAGGGGACACACCGTGGAGGGGACACACCGTGGAGGGGACACACCGTGGAGGGGACACACCGTGGAGGGGACACACCGTGGAGGGGACACACCGTGGAGGAAATGAAATGAAGGAAAAATTATTACAGAAAGGATGAGAGCTGAGAGTCTGAGAAGATACAAACTAAACACAAATGAAGGCAACGATGGTCCTAAAATTCTATGCTATAATTGTGGAAGAATTTTCTTAACATGGGCAGGTCTTGCTGTCACACTCACTATTGACATGTATGAATCTCATGCCTCCTCATAGCACAGTATAACAGTCATCTGGAAAGATGCAAAGAGGCCAACTAAATGTGAGCAAAATTCTTTATCAGGGTGTCCATTAAAAGGGAAGTTGGCAGCACATTATGTTGTGGTTTATGGCTAGGCTTAGATATGTATGCCTGATAGCCCAAACACATCCAGTTTAAGCGAAAATTTAGTCACCTTTTAGGCCATGTTTGTTAAAGGGCAGTGGGTCTGTTCTCTTGCCCCAATCCCCCGCCCCATAGTGGTAGGGTCCCGGAACCCCTAAGTAGAGAACATACAATTTCATAATCAAACATTAAACAAACGCTCAGGTTGATTTGCAGCTAATTCATTCTATATAAGTTGTTACTGATATATTCAATAGCTGTATTATTTTGACTCATTAAGATTCAGAATAAAATCATTGAGTCATGACATTAGAATGTATATAAGCAACCACCTACACAGGAACTTCATCTTAAAAGATCTAATGTCTGAGCAAGAGGTCACCCAGTAACATGGACTGAAAATATTAAAAAATAATATTAATCCATTCACAATGTTAGTGGCCAGTGCCAGCTTTCAAGTGCTGGATCTCACACTGTTTGTCGCTTAATGGTAAAGTGGAGGTTAGTGAAAATGTAGGAATTATGGGATGATGATAAATAATCTAACAGGCTATGATGGAAGCAAAAGTGTTCAGTATGATGATTCACTCATTGTCTTTTTATGTCAGGTATGTCACATGGCATCAGTCTTTTTCTCCATTCCATTCAGTCCTGTGTGATCACTTTGATATTTTGCATGGAATTCAGTCCAGCAGCTTTGGCGTCTGTCCTCAGTGTTTTTATTACGGTTTCTCTAAGGGTTTTTCCTGGACATCCTTATTTCCTCAGCCCCTCTGTTTCCCATTTCAGTGCCTCTTTGATGATTATATGTTTCCCTTCCCACAATGTGTCCAATATAGCGCAGTTTTCTGTCATAACTGTTGATACTATTGGTTGTCCAGATATTTCTCCTATCTCTTCACTCCTTTTGAATTTATCCCATTTTACATTCGTTTTCCTACAATTTTCAAATGCATTTAACTTTTGTTTCTTGTTTAGTGGTTCTCCAACTTTCATTAGCTATTTTCAAAGTGAAATAATACTAAAATTGAAAATGTGAAACTTGGCGATGATTAGTTAACCACTGTACCCATGTGAGCTCTGCTTACTAACTGCAGAACATGTCCTGTATGACTGTCCATTGTACGGTCATTATAAAAAAAAGGATATTTTCTTCAGGACACACCGTTATGTTGGGAAATGAGCTAATGATAGACTGGTTGGTTTTGCACCCTTGGTGGTGAACTGATTATCACAAGCTAGATGTTGTGAGGGCCCTTAGGAGCGAGTGAACAGTGTGGAGGCACAAATAGGTCATTACAATCTCTGGAGAATGGCTGTAAAAGTTACTAGGGATCTAGCAAATGCTCAACACTTAAGGGAAATGTGAGACGGATATATACAATCAAACAATTACAGGTGCAGTCGGAATTGGAACTCTTTGCTTGCTGTGAAGATGGGGGTGAAGTGCTTATTGGAGTGTCTTGAGTGCTGTGATGTCTTCTTAATTCAACATTTTGTTTACAAATAGAATACTATCCTGATGAGTCACCAGTTTACCTAAAACTGTTTGGAACTCAAGAGAAACTCCCAAACAATATTGTCCATTTAATCTTAAGAATTTGTCTTGTCTGTGTAAAATTTAGGGATACCATCACAAGCAGCAGCAGTTAATGATGATGATGATGTCATTTGCCATTTGTAAACTCTTTGACTTAATGATTAATTGTATTCTTACACTAAATACCCTTTCCCAGATATTCAAGCCAAGTGTAAATTAACATTAATTATGACTGTGGTGAACTGAAGGATGATTGTGTTTGAAGCCTATGTTACCCCAAGTCCATCAATAACCACCAGTGCAATTACTGTACCAACAACCTCCAGTACAAGTACTTTGCCAACAACCCCAGGATCTACTGCTACCCGTAAGTCTCCAACAATATATCAAGTCCATTCGTTTATTTTCATCAAATATGTGTTTTTCTACATCTATTTGTCTACTTAATGAAGAATTAACATATGTTCTTTTACCTTGTCTAATTCATCAAGTATATACATATTTGTGTGCATGTGTGCACGTGCGTGGGTACATGTATATAAATATATGTTGGCAATTTCATATGGAAGCAAAGTATGGCATCCAAACAGGCACCATTCATTCTATAATTTGGCCAGTTTACTAATCCACTTAGTCAGACCACCTGGTCAGCAGATGATGAATTATCCTTTGTTTGTTTAGCTAGTAAGTTTTTTTTTAAACCAATCATCACTTTTTTAAATGTCTATTGTGATTTATCAGGAGTTGTGGTAGCACAGTACTGGTTCAGATTCATATTGAGATACATTTTATAACATTTATCTGGCTTATAAAATGGGTGCCAAGAAATGCCCTGGGAAGTAAAGGTAACATCACATAAGGGCTGGGCAGTCTATGAAAAAAGTATGCATGTAGCATATTATGCCGATTTGAGCGCTGGCCAGAATGAAAGATGTGTTGACATCATATGCCAATATGCAACTGGCATAAAAAGTGTATTGTTATTGTGATCAATCAAGCTTTGTTTAAACCCACCTGCTTATTTTCACAGCTTACTGTGAGCCACTCAAGTCTTCACTGTGCTCAAACTTTGGCTATACTAAAACTACCTTTCCAAATCTTTGGGGAGACAAGAGTGCTGAAGAGGCTAACAAAACATACTACAGTGTTGCAGAAAGATCAGTGTCATCAGGGTGCTCACCCAACATATTGTTCTATGTGTGCAGTGCACTTTTTCCATCTTGTGAAGGAGACGGGGAAGTCAAGTTTCCTTGTACTTCATTCTGTGCAGGTAATTTATCAGTGTAATATTTGTTTTTTCTTTTAACTTTTTCTTCTTCAGATTTCTCAGCAATGAGTGGAAATAACCAAAACAAAAATAGACTAAAGATAGCTCTAGAAAACTGCAGAGGAAGATTAATCAGTGCATCCGAACAATGAAGAGCATAATAAAAATTCAAGTCATGTTTTATCCATAGATATAAATGCCATGGACCGTGTAGTGTGGAGAGGGAACATCAGGAAGGGAATGAGAATGAAGAAAGTGACTGCAGAAAAGATGAAAGCAGAGCATCTGAGAAGAAACAGACTAAATATGAATGTTGACAATGGTCCTGAAATCCCATGCTATCATTGTGGAAGACTTTTCTTGACGTGAGCATGTCGTGCTAGTCACCATCACCATGGGCTGTGAGTCCCATGCCTCCTCTAGCATATTAGAACACTATCGTTTTGGAAAGATGGAAAGGTGCCAGTAAAAAATAGAAAAATCTGATTTTGCCTAATTTAAAATCTATTATATTTAACATTTAAAATCTATACAATATTAATTAGCCAATAGTATTAGATAATCATTAAAATGTTTGAAAAGACTGAAATTCCTTATATCCTAAATGAATCTAAAAAAAAAAAAAAAAAAAAAAAAGGGCGACTTTCCAAAGAGAAACACGTGGCTTCATCACCAGAGCAAGATTTTATGGTGACGACAGTGAAATTGTTTCTGCTTTCATGGTCAGACCTACTGAAATGAAGAGAGGGACTGTTTGAGTGCCTCCATGTGAATATCCTAGAGATTGCCTTCTGTCAGTTTTCCCAGTTTGTCTTTTTAAATACCTTTTATAGATGAGAGCATTCCAGGACTGCACCGATTTGACACATTAAGGCAAACCTTTTGGCCAGAAAGAACAACAGTGGAATGTAAACTCTATGGACCACTGAATGAACTAACGACAGTGAAATTTATACAAGAGACAAAAACTGCTGATATAGACAACTTATTTCAGGCGAACGAAAGAAGAAGAAGAAGATGAGAGCATAGATTAAGTTTCAGGATTTGCAAGTAAATGCTTTCCTTTCTGAATGAACCATTTAGAAAACTGACTGATGAAGTTTAGATATTGAATGGGCATATTTTACATCTAGCATCTGATCCATTTTATATATATCTGGTTTCTGTTCTGGTTTCCGCAGAAGTGAATGAAAGCTGCCCATTGTTGTTTCACCAGAACTGTGATCGCATTTCTGACCCAAGACTTGACCACTGCGTAAAGCCACCACCCAAAATTAGTAAGATAACCTTACCATATTGCTCCAGATACTATAACTACCTGATCTCATCAATCTCACTGCCATCACCAGGACTAGCTAACATCCCAACTCCTAGATCTCCCTGCTAACAGCTCTCTCCCCTGCCAGAACCATGACTAAAACTTTCTGATTTCCTTCTCCCTACTTGCAGTGTCATCACTAAAAATGATCTCCTTACTTCCAATGTCATCACTAAAACTATCTAATCACCCTACTTCCTACTTTCAGTATCATCGCTAAAACTATCTGATCTCCCTACTTCCAGTGTCATTACTAAAACTGACGACTTTCTACCCCACCAAGACATCACACTGAGCAAATAAACACCCAGTAACACAAAGTGCCACCATTCGGATGAGGACCACCCATGGAGAGGTCCTAGAAACCTCGTTCAACCGTTAGGTTATATTAGGGCCCCCAGTAACAACCAGGGTGGGGCTTCAAAATAATAAAATAACACATGAGGACGGAGATTATCACTAAAACTCCCTACTTTCAGTGTAATTGCTAAAACTCTTATCTACCTACCCCCTACTTCCAATCATCGTCGTTGTCATCATCATCATTAATTTTTTTACTTTTGCTGCTGAGTGTCATGGGGAGGTATAGTTTGTGCTTCATTGCTTATTGGACAGCAGTGGCTATTATTTTGTATTGGTGTAGAAGCTCTTTAATGTCATCAGTCCATATCTTCTAGGGTGACCTCTTGCTTCCACATCAGATCTTTCACTGTGTAGCGCATGCATTGGTAGTTGTTCTGGCTGCATTCTTACTTGATGACGAAACCATTTGATCTTCTGTTTCTCAATAAATTTGCTGCATGGTGAGGCTCCCACAGTCTATCTGATATAATTTCTAACTTTGTCTCAGAGGCTTAAATCGGTGTCTTTTCTCAGCTTATCATTTTGTGTAAATTTAGGTTAGCCTTTGATAATTTCCATGTCCGGCACTGGTAGTTCAGTGTTGGTATGAATATGCTGTTTATAATCCATTTCTTGATGCTCACACTTGTGTTTGAATGTCTTAATAACGGTGTCACTTAGTATATAAGTGCACTGGCACATTGGCATCTTGTTTCTATTTCCCAGCCTGTTCTCCTGTCCTCTGAGAATATACTTCCTGGATATTTAAATTCTTTAACTTGTTCCAGACAAGACCATTCAACCACTAAATCTGTAGCGGACTAGGAATTCTACTGACCTGCATTACTTCAGTTTTAGTTTTATTTACTTTTATGTTATACTCTTTATGTTGAACTTAGCCTGTTCAGATGGTCGGGCAGTCTACTCCTCTCATTAAAGAACAAGCGCTAATCATCTACTTCCAGTGTCATCACTGAAACTATCTCATCTTCCTACTGCTTACTTCCAGTGTCTCACTAGAACTATCTCATCTTCCTATTTCCAGTGTCTCACTAGAACTATCTCATCTTCCAGTGTCATCACTGAAACTACTATCTCATCTTCCAGTGTCATCACTGAAACTATCTCATCTTCCTACTTCCAGTGTCATCACTGAAACTATCTCATCTTCCTACTGCTTACTTTCAGTGTCTCACTAGAACTATCTCATCTTCCTACTTCCAGTGTCACCACTGAAACTGTCTGATCTTCCTACTTTCAAGATCACTGTAAACTACATTTTTGATTTGAATGGATGCTGTCATTTTATCTTCAGGTTTGTATGTTTTCTGTATAAAAAAAAAAAAAAAAAAAAAAAGGTCTGCTTAATTAAAACCTAATCTTATAATTTTGAACCTATTTATTAAATGCTGTCTAACCATCCGTTGTCAGTGGTATCAACTTCCACTTTTAACAATGGCATGAAAAAGTCCTAATAACCCTCTTAGGATATTTTTTTATAGAATTTAGACAGCATTCATTTTTAGCAGAATTTTTTTTTACTGCAACATGACAGTTAACTTTACTGCAACATGACAGTTAACTTTACTGCAACATGACAGTTAACTTCACTGCAACATGACAGTTAACTTTACTGAAGACAATGAGTTGGGTGTATAGTGATATATATCAAATTAAAGATGAATACAGAATACATCTAAACTATTTAAGAATTAGTATTACAACAACAAAATATTAGTGACACAACATTCAGTTATGTTAAACACACATGATATTTGTACTTGATCACCAACACTGCTGTTAATTTCTAAGAATTCATATGCCTTCTCTGTTCGATTATGCATCAGCCTGTCTTTATTTGAGACATTTAATCTAAGTGCTTTTGATTTTATGACCATTTTTGTGTGATATGTCAAATTTCACAACAACCAAATATCAGACACAGCTGATTGAAAAATGGGATGATCCAATTGAGGTATTTTGTTCAACTTCATCCTAACCCATGTTATCGGCAGTAGGTTTTGCACTCTGATTATTAATCATAATGTCGAGATTATTGTCACTTTCTTGCTCAAATTCATTGCCAGCAGCAGTAAAAAAAAGTCTAGAACTGTAGACTTTTTCTTTTACCATTTGGTCTGGAAAATAACACAAATTGTGTCACACTGATTTATTTAAAATCAAATAGAAAATTTAACCTGTTGCCTCACCACACTTGAAAAATGATACTTTCTTTCGCTAATTTTAGTTTTTCAAAACGTGTTCACAGAACTTCATTTCCCCCACCAAATGAAAAAATATTAGAGAGTCTGTGCCGAGAGCTGATAAATTAGTGATGTGGAAAAACGGTGGATTATCACAGCGATATATTGGTGATACATTCTGAGAGTTAATGTCTGGCATGGTTCAGAATCATAGACTGTAAGTAAAACAAGGAGAAAGCAACAATAAACAGCCTAGTCTGCTGTTATATCACACAAGTTCCCTATGTGTGGGTCCCAGGATCCCATTTTTCAGGGAAAAAGAATACTTCCAGTGCTTCTTAACACGAATGTTGTAAAAAGTGACTAATCAAGGATTTGCGTTAACTGGATCAGTTGGACCAGAAAGTCAAGATTTCAGTCTAAATATAAACCACAACGCAACATACCAACTGCCTTTTTAAAGATGAATGCAGAAGTAGATATCACACAATGATGATGAATCTTAACTCTTTGAGTCCCAAGAAACGCATCATACGTTCATAGGTTCCTACAAAGAAGCCCTATGAACACATGATGCGCCGATTTTATTACTTTCTTTACTACCCCCTGGGCCTGTGATGCTAAACCCCCTGGGACTCAAAAGAGTTAACAAGAAAGGAAAACAAAGTATTTCTAACACTGAGATTGAAGACAGAAAATTACAGAAAGAGACCAATTTCCAGGCTGTTAAAATATTTTATGATAAAAGTGATAGCTTTTTTGTTGAAGGATGCACTAAATGAAAGAGATAAGTGTAAGAATAAAGCATCTAGGTGACTAGAAAATGTCAAGAGAGGGACTGGAAAATCAAGAGAGGGACTGAATAAGATTTTGAATGTGTACTATAAATATGCAAAGTTAAAAGTTGACACATTTTCAGCCAGTCATGAATGTGGAGATGGCACTGGATGAAAATGGAATTTTTGTGGCTTAATTTTCTAAAAACTGCATGTTACAAATTAAAAATCATTCAACTTTGTTTTTGTTGTATCTTTTGAAAGAAAACAATGAAACTGCATTTTACAAATTAAAAATCATTCAATTTTGTTTTTGTTGTATCTTTTGAAAGGAAAACAATGAACTGAATCATTGAAATTAAAAATCACTAAACATTTTAAATAACTTTATCCGTTCTTCTCTCTTGACAAAAAACTTATAATTTCATTTTTGACCCATGTTCTTTTATTTTGTTCACAGCATGCCAAGCCACTGAATTTGCATGCATCAACATCAATAAATGTGTACCTAAGAGTGCTGTGTGCAACAAGGTTAATGATTGTGGTGACTGGTCTGATGAAAGACAGTGTGGTAAGCTTTTTTTTCTTTTTTTTTGAAACTTTTTTTTTTTATATATACAAAATTTTGCTTGTTTGATTTTCATGGCCAGCTGACAACTATATGAAAATTACTGTTGAAGGATGGCTCATTTATCACTTCAGAGATTCTGGGTTGTGTCCTTTGAATGATTTACCAAGGGTTTTTCAGATGTGTTGAGAAATGAGCAGGCAGAAATATTGGCTGGTTTTGCACCACTTGATGGTCAGTTGAGGCATGGCAATCTAGATGTGGTCAAGGCTCCTTAGGAGTGAATGAACAGTGCAAAAGCACAAATAAATCATGGGGTGAAGAAGATGGTGTTGCAGAGTGACCAGGAAATCGGTTTGACACTGAAAACTCAGATGAAAGGCAAGATGGATACAATCAACTGCTACTGGTACTCAGAATTGGAAATCTTTATTAACACTTGAAGATGGAGAAGAAGCACTTATAACAATATCCTGAGTGCTTTTTTATCAGTTCTTAGATCACCTCGGTATGATAATGGAGCTAGATGCTGCCCATAAACTCTGGTGAACTTCAACTCTGTAAACAGGAGTTATGATTACGTTAACTCAGTAAATGTCTGAACCATACTTTGTTTTGATTTGAAATAATTTTTTTGTTCTTCTGTCCAAAGAGATGAATAACATAACTTTTTTCTAGGATTTTTATATGACATTGAGTACAAAGATGATTGCTAAAACCAATGCAAATCTCTAATGGTCTAAGGCACGGGTGGCTGACTTTAGACTTTTAATTTATAAGAAATGCCTCCGGACATTTAATAAACAGTTGACACTGAAACAGTTGACACTAAGTTTTAAATTTGATATAAATGTCAACCACATGTTGTTTTTTTTTTTTTAATAATCCATGCCAAGGTGCTGAGGTGATTATGTCATCCACAACTTTCTGTCTCATTTACATCCAATCATTTGTGATAACTAAATCTTCCATGCCACAGTGTCAAACTAGATGTCACTGACACCTTCATTCTTGGTGTCCCCGGCCTCTCTTCCTCTCCAGCTTTCATATGGGCACAAACTCATCATCACTAGCTGGCCGAGGATGACACTGTAGGAGTCATGTTGGACAACCCACACAAGTATGGACACAAGTATGGACACAAGTATGGACACAAGTATGGACACAAGTATGGACACAAGTATGGACACAAGTATGGACACAAGTATGGACACAAGTATGGACACAAGTATGGACACAAGTATGGACACAAGTATGGACACAAGTATGGACACAAGTATGGACACAAGTATGGACACAAGTATGGACACAAGTATGGACACAAGTATGGACACAAGTATGGACACAAGTATGGACACAAGTATGGACACAAGTATGGACACAAGTATGGACACAAGTATGGGACACAAGTATGGACACAAGTATGGACACAAGTATGGACACAAGTATGGACACAAGTATGGACACAAGTATGGACACAAGTATGGACACAAGTATGGACACAAGTATGGACACAAGTATGGACACAAGTATGGACACAAGTATGGACACAAGTATGGACACAAGACATTGCCACCTGCATTGTTTATAAATGCACAGAAAATCATGAATTCATGCAGTATTAATTCTCATAGATGAAATAATTTTAAAAATATTGAATGCTTATTAAGACAACTGATTATTTGCATCAGAACCAGATGATGTATATTCTTTGGGCACATCTTGAGAAAGGGAAAATCAGAGAAAGGCATGACAAAAAAAATTTCTGAAAGAAAGGGCAGAAAGAGATCAAAAGATATGTTGAACATCTTGGCATCATGGTATTGAAGAACATCTATATCAAAGATAATTCACACTACATGTGATTGAAAGGCAGAGGAAAATCAAAAGATATGTTGGAAATATTGTCATTATGGAATGGAAAACATCTGTAACATAAATCATTCACATGACACAAGACAGAATGCTGTGGATAGACATAATTGCCCTAACAAAGCATAGACTATTTTTTTAAAAATACTGAATGTTGTTACAGATATGGAATGTAAATTGCACACACTTATAATAGATCATACATTTTTAGACTGCCACCCTGAGTTTGAGATTCAGTGTGCTATGGGACTGTGCGTGCCTAGTTACTACAGATGTGATCAGCAGGTTCAGTGTCCTGACAGCAGTGATGAGGTTGGCTGTGGTATGTATCTTGTCATATTTCATTTGATGTAATGTCATCAGTATGTGTGTACAATTTGTGAGAGATAATGTTTTGTCAGTATGTGTACAACTTAATGTACCATCAGCATGTATACTTTTTAATGTACTGTGAGTTAATGTGCTGTCGTAATGAACTGTTAGTGTGTGTGTAATTAAATTTACTATAAAAGTATATGAATGTTAATGTACTTTTAGTGTATTACAAGTTAATGTACTGTCATTGTGTATGTTTTAATGTACTGTTAGTGTGTATAAAATCTAATTTCCTCTCTGTGTTTTTATAGCGTAATGTACTGTCCTGTCAGTGTGTGTGTGTGTGTAATTTAATGTACTATCAAGTATGTGAACGTTAAACTACTTACTGTATAATGAGTTAATGTACTGTTATTGTGTATGTTATAATGTTCTGTTAGTATGTATAAAAGTTAATGTCCTCTGTGTTTGTATAACATAGTGTAATGTCTGTATGTATAACAGTTGATAGACTGTCATTGTATGAGTCCGTGCACTATAAATTGTATGAGAGATCATGGATGTGGGTGATATCTGCAGCAAATGAACCTCAGGGGCTCCAAATGTTAAAGAAAAAGAAATATGTAGTTAGTACCATGTTCTTTTTGAGACGTTGCTAATCAATCCCAGCCGGTGGCGAGGTGATTTATGTCACAGGCGTGAGGGAAAGTTTAGTCCAACAGGATGTGTATAAGGAGATACTCCGTACGCCACTTGGGCGCCAGTCCTTCACTGTTCTGGTTTTACGGAACCTCACGCAAGACCCCTGCAGCACGTCCTCGTCGTGCGCCACGGATAATGTCTCAAACGAGCATTAACAGAGCTGTCAGGGGATCTCGGAGTTTGGCGGCCCCCAGAGGTGATGCGTCCTTGTGGCTCTCATCAGCCCTCCCCCAAACGCTTGGGTGAAAAAGGTTATCAAAACTCATTAGGAACATGAGTATGCTTGCCAAACGTACAGCTAAAAATCACAGCCCTTCGTTAAAAGAATGTGATGAGAACATTGTTCACTGTACATCCTCTGTTAACCCTCAGTGTCGTCGTCACCGCGCTGAGGTACACAACAGCAACCATCCTTAGGCTGGCCATCCATGCACATCCTCGGTTAACCCTCAGTGTCGTCGTCACCGCGCTGAGGTACACAATAGCAACCATCCTTAGGCTGGCCATCCATGCACATCCTCGGTTAACCCTCAGTGTCGTCTTCACCGCGCCGAGGTACACCACAACAGCAACCATCCAGAGGATGGCTATCCATGTACATCCTCGGTTAACCCTTAGTGTCGTCATCACCGCGCTGAGGTACTCCAAAACAGCAACCATACATAGGCTGGCCAGCCATGTACATCCTCGTGTAACCCTCCCTTAGTGTCGTCGTCACCGCGCTGAGGTACACCACAACAGCAACAGCCCATTGGCTGGCTAAGCCTACTTGTCCAACAAAACTAGATCCTACGGCACACGAGTGAGCTCAAAATCTGACCTCCAAAATTTTTACTGAACGTAAAAAAGACTAAATGTCCACACCCAAAGACCCCACTCGCCCGAGTGTTGTTACCAAACTGATAACGCTATGCCTGACGCAGGATGTAAAATTCTGTCGGGCTAACGGCTCGTCAAAGAAATCTAACGTGCAAAGAAAAAAGAATGTGCCTATTCGCGTGGTCACAAAAGTCCAAAATCCACAGGCTGCTCCCCGCTGACTTCCAGAGGGCGCAGCTCTTGTCGAGCGGGAAGCCTGATACGGTTGTGAGGCTAAGCAGGCATGTGCAGGCCGTGACGATTCCTTGGGTGAGCCCAGAACCAGAGCGCCATGTGCCGGCTCTGCATACATGGAAGCCTCCTTGGATGGCGGGGAATGCCCATGATCTGCCCCTGCCTTCCCTTGAGGGCTAACTGTTCCACAGGGGGCTGTCCCAAAGGGGTACTCCGGGTGCAATACCTGTGGAGAAGGAGACAAAGTGGACTCCACACAAATCAGGCAACGTCTTGACCCACACAAAACAATGGCCAGTCAACCTAGAAATAGGCCTGACGTCTTCCTTCGAAGTCGGAGTACAGCTGCCCATGAGGCAGGGAACATTAAAACGGTTGTACACGCAAAAATCAGGTCCGGGTGAAAGCCAAAAGTCCAAGCGGACGATTAACCTTGACCTTCCGCCGGAATTCACAGCCGGTGAACCCAAAAAAAAAAAAAAAAATCCCAGCCGAAGTGAACAAAATTTAGCCAGAGATGACTTCCACTTACTTGACCGGCATGGGCAGGTCATTATTCTTTGCCTCAGAGCTGGACATAACAAACTAAACAAGCATATGCACAAGCTTCGTCTGAGTAGTTCACAACAGTGCCCATGTTGGCTGGTGTGCCTACTACAGAACCTGTCCTGCAAGAATGTCCCTTCTGCGCCCCTTAAGAAGGGAATACTTCTCCAGGATTTTAACACTAAACTCAAGGCTGTATAGAACCGAAAGGAAACCCTGAAAAATGGTCAAGCTTGTCACAAGAACTTGTCTGTTAATGTAAATCTGAAAGCAGTCACAAGAAGAAGAATCATCATCCCAGCATTTTTTTGCCGTTGAGTGGTTTTCTAGGCAATTTTACGTTCATTAGTTTGTCACTGCTTCTGGTGTATTGTCTGGAAGAAAAAATACTAACAAGAACTGTGCTATCCTATAAATTGAGATTAAAAAAAAATTTTAGATGTGCAGATTACTTGTCAGAACAATAAACATTCTTGACTTTTTGGTTTATAGTTAAAAAAAAAATATTTTTGTCTAGTTATACTGGAAAAAAATGTTAACATAAAAGATTATTACAAGTAGAAATGCAATTTCAAAATTGCTGACGCTCCCTTGAAACTTCCTTGCACTCATGCACTTCATTTGTGGTGCACTCATGCACTTCATTTGTGGGGGCTGCAGGAAAATTTAAAACACGGGGGGGGGGTGGTAGAACCACTCAGGTTGAAAACCACTGATCTAAATAAACACAATGCAATCTGTTACCACACCACTAGAAGCTGATTTGTTTGGAACCCTGGTTGAAAGTGTTGTGAAACCGCATTCACAACTTCACAACCCCTAAACCACACACACATGTGACAGGTTGGGCCTCTTGAGTCCGACATTTCAGCTGGCATGATGATTGTGAAAAATAAGTCTAGTATCTTATGCCTAATGTGGCAGTTGCCTACAAAGGGTTCATTGCTTACAATGTTTGTTTTTTGGGCTATTTTATTACATACCTAAACAAGGTTTAGGCTCCATTCGAATACCCCCCCCCCCCCCTTTTTTTCCCTTGCTCTTCCTTTCTTTTCTAGACATAAAATTTATGAAAGGCTGAATCTTCCCCATGTCTTATGTGGATGCCCCTGCAACATAGCCTGCATAACATATAGTAATTTGTGTAGTAATAAAAAAAGTTAAGTCCATGACTGGAGGATACATTCCACTGCTATGGGAAAAGGGGTGGGTATTACTTTTTTTAACAATTTTTTATTTAAAATTATTGCTATTATGTTTATTAATTCTTGGAATATTATTTGCATTGTTGTAATTTACTGTGTTTCTTTTCTTCTTTCCAAGAATGTGAGAAGAACCAATATAAATGTGAAGGTGGACCATGTATTATGCCAGAATGGCTCTGTGATGGACAAAAAGACTGCCCTAAAGAGGACGATGAAGGCTACTGTCGTATGTTAGATAGTAGTTTGTCCCATTCATACACGTATTAGTTTCAGTGTTTTAGAGCAGCGGCTCTCAAAACTTTTTTCGCTGCAGTACCCTTGTTGTGCAAAAAAATTTGTGCGGCTCAGCTACCCTTCAAGCGGTTGAATACTTAGGAAAAGAAGAAAAGAGAGTGCAGATTTTATGTTCAGTTGTCTTTAATGCGATAAACAAAACTGTTTTAATGAATTTTTTTTTATTACTGCTGCGGCATCCTTGGCATACGTTCGCTGCACCCTGGGGCGCCACCGCACCTAGTTTGAGAACTGCTGTTTTAGAGCATTATGTATAGTATTTTTATGGTATTAAGTAAATCCAAATGACAGAGGATTGTATAAAATAAACTCCTTCTCCTCCTCCTACTTCATCTCTTTCTCTTCTTCCTGACCTTATCCACCATTAAAACAAAAACCTCCAACAATCTTGATTGGTTGGGAGCAGCTGTGGCATGGTGGCTGTATGCTTGCAAGCAGACTGATGGTCATGGGTTTAAATCCAAATGGAGCTGGGCTTTAAAAAAAATATTTCACCTTGGCTCCCAGATAGGCACAGCTTCCAGTGGGTAGAGGTAAAGTAAGGGGAAGTAAAAGAGGCTGGCATGGTGTTTGAGGTCACCTACTGAATATCAGTTCATCTAAAAAATTAAGTTCTAGCAATGTATTCTCACTAGGCCTGAAGGTGTAGAAAAGACTCCTTTATCTCAGCTGGCTAGCTTTTGCATCTGAAGCTTTAAATGAATTGGGGTAGTGAAGAGCATCACAAAAAGCACAAAGTCCTTAGCTCCCGTGAAGATCCCCTCAGCTTTGAAAGCATGATATAGATGGCCTACCCATGGCCTCACTATAGAAACCCCCAATGTAGAAAGTGGAATACTTTAGAGACTTAGAAATTAAAATAAAGAAATTCTGTCTCTCCTGAATAATAAACTTATCAGTGAAGCGATTGCAAAAATGCTCACTCTACATGGCTCACAGACTGACGCCCCAGTTGTATAGTAGTATTGCCAAATTACATAAGGCTGTAACACCTCTAAGGCCAGTTGTTTCCATGATTAACTCGGCCCAACATTGATTAGCAAAATGGTTAGCTGAAGTACTAATTCCAGTAAAAGTCATTTGAAAACAGAACAGTAAAAGATACATTTGATATAACTGAATTGCTGAAAACCCAGAATTTAGGACAAAAACACATGGCATCAATGGACATTTCATCCTTGTTTACCATTGTACCATTAGAAGAAACTATCATGAGAATAATTGTTTGCATAAAAGAGAACAAACTTAGATTGGATATCCCAACATCTACTTAGTGAGATTGTAATACCTATGCACAGCCAGTACCACATGACTTTACTGTCAAATTAATGGAGTGGCCATGGGGAGCCCCCTTGGTCCCATCCTGGCTGACATTTTCATGGCACATATTGAACAGAACGGATCCACCATGCATATAAATGATTTGGTCCTTTACCGCTGATACTTACATGACATTTTAATAGTAATACGCTCCTATGTTATGTAAACAAAAAGATCACTTTATCATTTTGAAGTTTCCATGGTAATCACATGAATGGTTTTGAATTTCCAGTGGATAGATAGATATACAGCAACTCGACAATGTGGTTTATGCATTTCAGCATGAAAAGGATTCATTTTGTGCTTCATTATATGATTTAACTTTGTAGCACCTGAAGAGATACAGCAAAATATGCCAGGCAATAAATTGTACATTGTATTGTTCGTGTACGTATTATTTAAATAATTCTATGTAAATGTACATTAGTTTTGGGGGATATAACCATTATTATAGATACAGGATATGGAGGATCTGGCAGAGCAGTTAGAAGACTAAGCTGTCATTTGAGGGGCCTGAGTTTATCCACATTAAATTTATAGATTTTTTTTTCTATTGGGGGCAAAGTAAACTGCTAACCATTAGTTTATGGTGTTTGCACTAGCAATGTGGTTCCTGAATCTTTAGACTAAAAATGACACTAAGCCCTTTTCTTGCCTGCTGGCCCAAAGTTTATTTGTTTGAACTGGCATATGGGTTCATATTAAAAAACTCATCTAAAAATATGTCTGGGAAATAAAGGCAACCATCAAGATGCTGACCACATTACCCATAAATGCTGACTGGTCTACAGCAATGTTTAGTTCCATATGTCTAAAGTGCCAGTGGCAAGGAAAGGGCCCTTTAGGTTTTTGTAGTAGATAAAGTGCATTCCATGCGTACTCTCCACATGTTACTTTCATTAGCAGACAACTGTTCGGTGGACCAGTTCATGTGTGTGGACTTCTCTTGTATTCCAAGTGCTGAAGAGTGTGATGGAATTCCTCAGTGTGCTGATCACACTGATGAGATGAACTGCAGTAAGTGAGGCAAAAACTATTTTTTGTTTCCCCCTCTCTTTAGGATCATTAGTTCTATTTGTTTCATGTTACCACTAATTTAATTAGCAATTTTGTCATGTGAAATAGATAACTAACATTCCTATTAATTCTTCTTTTCCCTCTTCTTCAGCATTCCGAGCCCTTGAGGTTCATTGCTGCAGATACCACCCACTTTCACTCATCTCTCTGGTTGGCTTTCTCTTTCCAATTGGTGACAAAGTGTTTGCAGGTCTGCCTGGACGTTATATCTCTATCTTCTTGGTCTGCCTTATGGTCTATGATCATTTAGCTTCCTTGTGTATAGTTTTTACTTCTGTCAAAAGACATTCTTTCAATATGCCCTAACCTTTTCAGTCTATTAGCTCCTATGATGACAGTCATCAATGGTGATTTTAACAGATTATGAATTTTGTTGTTGCTTCTCACTTTCCATTCCCCAATGTTTGCATCTTTGATGGGTCCAAAGTTTCATCATAAGACTATTTTCAAAAATTTGTAGTAAGGCTTCATCTCTTTAGTTGTGCTCCTAGTTTAAGAGCCATTTCTATCAGTCAAATTAAATAGGAACTTATTAAAATTGGCAGAAGCAGTGGCAATTAAAATAGATGGTCTTGAGTTATATAAACATAAGGATCAGATGTTAACATAAACATAACAATTATTGCACCACATGTCTAAAATGTTACTGCAATTTTTGTTGTTGTTGTTGCTTGCTTTGATAAAAATGTTTTGAAATGAGACTTAATTCTTTCACTGTTGCAATCTCCAGTTTTCAAGACCGAACCAAACTCTGCCTTTTTCATCAAGTCTGATGGTGATGTTATAGAAGTATGCACAGATGGTTTCACAGATGCACATGGAGACACTGCTTGTCTGAAAATGGGAGAAATGTAAGTAGCATTTGAGAATGTGTTTAATTCTTGAATATGGAGAGCTGAAAAAAGTTATGTCAGAAAGGGAGTCATCAGAATGGGGGTCCCCTCTGTTGGGTTCCAGGGCCCCATTGTGGAGTGGGGGGGGGGGGGGGAGAATAGACACAATATTATAATGAAAAGAATCTCAACAAACATGTTCATAAAAGCCAACTAATTATGTGTTTCCTTTAAAGTAGAAGTGCATCTGTGTGAGGTGACCAACAGCCTGTATATAAATAAGCCAGACATGCATACAAAACTCTAAGTCTGGAACAAGACTTAAACCCAGAAATGGATGATTAACTCTTAACTCTTTCTGTCCAAAGCGACATACCTTGTGTGCTCAGTTTATGTCTGTGTCCACAAAACGCAGGGTGTCTTATAATTTATTAAATGTTTGATTTTGGTATGTAAAACAAATCTGGCTAAATATTTTAAATGCAGTAGAGTATATGCTGTATCTTTGAAAATCATACACCTATGCCTCTTTTATATTGTGTCAAAGTGAGTATGTACCTTGAAACCATCTGGGACTGAAAAGGTTAACCAGAACTTTCCACAAAATTTAAAAGCCAGAGAATGCAAAGAAGAAGCAGATGAGATAGGGTGACCCTTGATCATGAGGAGTTAGGACTGTGTGGCTAGTGCACAGTTGAGCAGGTCAGAATTTTTCTTTTTCTTGCCCTCTACAGACCCAAAAACAAAAAAAACTTATGTTACTAATGTTTCATTCCTGGGTCTCTGCATGAGAGCCTAGAGTACTAACCACTCGGCCAGTTCCTCCTTCATGGAAAGACTATTTGTTTAGAGATGGAAGAACTATGAGTACAGTTTCAGAAAACTAGGCATTAACAAATTTAATCCTAGATTTTAAACAAACTAAAAATACAAAATCATTTAAAAAGTACACTTAAATAACATGAGTAATATATTTGTTATAATAATTATTGAAAGTTTACTTTCTCCTTTCCAGATCCCTAAAAAACTGGACAAGTGTGGCAGGTCATGGTCCGAGTTTTTTCCAGTTAGATCCAAATGGAGACCACATGTCTGTAATCGGCAAAGGAAAGAGTGTGTATGTTATATGTATGTTTTTTATATGTTTTTGTTAATTATTGTATGATTACCACCATTCATAGTTAATTGACATTTTTAGCTGAGAATTACAGGTTTTTTGTTGCTTGTTGTAGATGATTCTCCTTTTTCAGTTTTTTCTTTTCATTTGTTATTGTGACTTTTGCTTACTTAATGGAGATTTTCTTCTAAGCCTTTTCTCATAATTGCGATTTTATTGCCACATTTTGCTCATGGTTAAGGATGATTTTATATCTTTTTCTCACTATAACATTCAACCCTGCCAGGATCTCACAGTGAGTGACACCCAGTGACACACAGTGCCACAGTTTGGATGAGAATCCTTGCCCCCCTGTCCTGGTGCATCCCAGAAATCATGTTCAACCTATCGGATATATTAGGGCCCCCAATGACAGCCAGGTTGGGGCTTTAAAAAAAGTTAAAAAATTGCGTCCTATATTTGGATGAATAAAATATCTCATAATTAATGGAGATTTTTTCACCACCTTTTGATGATAGTTGAAATGTTATTGTCACTTCTAACCCATTGGTAATGGGATTTTGTTGTCATTCTATTATTCTAGCAAAAGGTGTTCAGGGAACGTTGTGGCCGTTGAGTGCAACACTAAAGGTAAGAATAATAGAAATATGCAATCCTATCATCGTCATCTTGTCATGCCAGTAAGCCTGTGGCGGTCACTGTTCATCATAGTCACTAGAACCATAGATCGGGTCAGAGCTTTCGTCCCGCTTAGACTGAGGCTAAGCATCCAAGTATTTATCTTTTTTTTTTGCCTGTACCTGGAAATTCAGCAATTAGTTCAAGATAATGCTCGCTCAGATGATTTGATCATTTACACAGATGGTTCAGTGTCAAGAGGCAGAAGTGCTTGGGGTCTCTTAGCTAAGTTAATGGTTGATGTTTGGTGCAGGAGAGCCTAGCGTATGATACCACAACATCCAGCTTAAGAATGGAGGTGGAGGTGATCACTGCAGCTTTCCGCTGGCTAGATAGAGAACATGACACACACACACACACATCGTGATCGTAACTGACTCAGAAAGCATGCTGAGGAAGATCAGAACAGGTATGCTTCATGCAGAGTGGCATGCTTCGCTGCGGAGGACATGAGTGAGGAGTATTGTCTGGATTTTTTCACCGGGGCGCCGGTGTGTAGGGAAATGAACAGCTGGACAGACTGGCTGGCTCTGCACAACTTGGTGGAATACTGATACATAAGGCAGACATGGTTAGTGCCTTTTGGGAGAGCGTGTACAGTTCCGAGGAGCAGATGGATCATCACAGTTTGGTGAAATTGATGCAGTTGGGGGTGATGAGAGGTTCTGGCAGATGCTCAAGGCTCAGAGGAAAGGCAAGACAGACATTTAATCAGAATGCTACTGGCACCATTAGTATCAGAACTCTTTTGCTAGCGCTTATGGGAATGCCCCGAGTGCTGTGATGTCGGTTCTTAAATCAAATCAAATCAATTTTCCTGTACTTGTTTTCCCAGCAGTCTTACCAGCTGTCACCAAGTTTTCAAGTGTATTCCTTCTCATAACATGTTAATATAAACTGACAGTATGTTGATATGTACTGACAGTATGTTGATACACACTGACCGTATGTTGATAGATACTGACTGTATACATGTACCAGTTAATTTATCAGTATCAGCTATAGATTTTACTATTAAAAGACTTTAGTGCAGAATAGTCAGCCAAAAAAGTGAACAGTTATGGGGAAGCTGCAGAGAATATTGACAACCCCATGGAACAGAGTAATAATGCCTTGACAGAAAGTCATTCATGAAGAGAACTGATTACCTCCATCAGAAAGAGACACACATAGGAAAGAAGAAAAACTAGAGTATGCATGACAACCGGAAAGTTGGAGGGGGAGAGAGGCAGAGAGACCAAAGTGGAAATGCTTTTCAGTCTGGCATCATGGCCTGAAGCACCATCTTTGTCAGAAATGATTAAAAGTACATGAGATAGATAGATGGCTGTGGACAGACGTGACTACCACGTTACAGGTCATGGATTATAAAAAGTGTAAAGAAGTGTATACAACTTTTTTTTTCCACCCGTAAAGGTGATCTTCTATTTGGAACATACTGTTTAACTCCTCATCAGTAACCAGTATAAAAAAATTTTATTTGTATGGTTATCCTCTTTAAAATTTGGTATTGCTCATCAATCTTCTTTGTCATCAGCCTTCTGAGTTATTGTTGTTTATTACTGCAGATAAAACCGGTCTCCATTCATCTCTGTGATTATCCTGTTTGCAGTTGGTGACTTCAAGTTTTTGTATATTATCTCTCCAACTCGGTCGGTTGCCTTGTGGTTTACCTCCATTCGGTTCTTTTTTCTATACCATTTTTGTATATGCTATTTGCCATTCTCTCTGTATGCCCCAACCATTGCAGTCTGTTGGCCCTCATGATTCCAGTAACAAGCAGTGCTTTAAAAAGATTATCAATTTAATATATATGTTAGAAAGTGGAAGAATGGGCCTTAGTTTGAATAATGGGAAGACAGAAGTAATTGTGATATCAAAAAAACTAATTATTCCTAATTGTGTAATAAAATGGATGGTGTTATTTTAGGACAAGTACAGAAATTTAAGAATCGAGGCACATGAATAACATCAGATGGAAGATGCATAACTGAGATAAGAAACAATAGGACAGGCAAAAACTGCATTTTATAAAATGAAAAACATCTTGTGCAATATATCCTTGTCATTGGGAGTTAGAAAAAGAATTCTTGCTTGCTACATACATCCAGTTTTAACATATGACTGTGAATCCTAGACAATCGGTAAGCAGGCCAAACAATTTCTTGAGGCCTCAGAGATGTGGTTTTACAGAAGAATGCTTAGAATACCCTGGACAGCCAAAAATAGCAACCAAGAAGTTTTGAAAGAGGTGGGAGCACGAAGACAACTTATCGCAGACATCAGAAGGAGACAGTCATCATTTTTCGGCCATGTTATGAGAAGAGGGAAAATAGAACATATTGTGACCACTGGAAAGATCTGTGGAAGGAGAGACAGAGGAAGACAACGAGAGAAGATGCTTGACAGTCTCATTGCATGGCATGGAGGTGTGTCGGCACACGAACAGATTCATGCTGCAGGAGATCACAGATTGTGGAGAGGCATGATCGCAGTCGGCAAGGCACCTGATGATGATGATAATGAATTTAATTGTTGCTTTTCATATAGTAACATGTGAAATCAAATCCAGAATACTCATCATTGCCGTAATAAAACTTTGTTTTATTTTAGAGTGCGGTCATCCATTAGAAAACTTGCCATCCTTCATTATCAACGGTCAAGATGCACTGCCTGGAGCATGGCCCTGGTTGGTCTCTGTGCGCAAATATACCCTGCATCAGTGTGGTGGAGCCATTATACACCCATACTTCATTCTCACTGCTGCACATTGCATTGAGTAAGTATACTAGTTAAGTCAATTGATAGATTTCCTTACAGCACACTGAACTACTCCGTCGATTAGTGATCATCGGCAGAAGGGCAGAAGGTAAGTTTCTGGGAAGTAAAGGCATCAGTATGATGTTACCACATCTATACAGTGTCTAAAGGTAATCTCAGGTTATATAGGTCTTAACTGGTATCTGAATGTCTTGCTTCAGTTGGATTCTGTCTTAACTGAGATCTAAAGGTCTTGGCTGAGCTGGAATCTGTAGGTCTTTGCTCAGCCAAGATTTAAAGATCTTAACTGATCTAAAGGTCTTAATTGTAAGCTAAAGATCTTATTTGGGATCTAAAGGTCTTGAAATAGTGAAAGTCTATAGATCTTAGGTCAGCTTGGATCTCAAGGTCTGGTCTCAGCTTTTATCTAAAGGTCTTTTATTACCCCGCAGGTCAGTTCTTGGCTTCATACACATATACAAAAGACATTAACTCAATAATGATTGACATACCATTTTAAAGCACAATTTAACAATTATTACCCAAGATACCCACTGTGCAGTATCAATCCTAAACACATCCCAGAAGGTGTAAACAGAATACTAGTTCAGGTGATAGTAATAATTCAGATGACATAAATCACTGAAAGACATGATTATTCTATATGTAGAATGGCTAAAGCTTACACTGAAGATGGAGAGAAAAGTTCTAAAAAGATTTAGATCTGACACCATAAGAGGATGTGTATTCTTCATCTGGTGCTGAAACTGTTTCTGACAGTAGACACTATAAATCCCTATTATAAACCCTGGGAATTAAATAGGATATTATTTAGACAAAAATTAGTGTTTTGACACATGGAGGATGAAATTTGGTAGATTTCCTAAGAACATTCTGTATGGTGAATTGCAGATGGGCAGATGTTGAGGTGGGCCTTTCATCATCATTCTTTGCAGATAATGAAACTATGTTGCTGATCCAGGGATGTACAAGAGACACCCCGAATGAAGCATGCAATACATCCTTACATTGCCAACTATTGCAGATAGGCTAAAGGTGCTGCAGGCTAAGTCATACCTCAGAGTAGGTAACACCCTCTGTATGAAGATTTGGCTGCAGGCAAGGGTCAGAGGCTGAAAAGAGGGAAATCATGGCATCATTAGTATCATAACTCTTCGCTGGCTGCTGAATATGGGGACAGAGCGCTTATGGGAATGCCCCTAGTGCTGTGATGTCGGTTCTTGAATCAAATCAAATCAAATCAAATCATGGACTGATTTCTATATCTCCATATAAAAACTGTAATGCCACTACTTCTGCTAAACCACCTTTTAAGGGTGGTTTGATTGATCAAGGGTGGTGTAGACAGGGGGGCCTTGAGTCTGAGGATTTAGGGCTGCCTGGCTAGTGCTGTTGCCATGGACTGAACAAATTAGGATGTTAAATTTTGCCCTTGACAGAAAAACTCCCATCACCTTACTGGGGGTCAAACCTCCTGCATGAGAGCCAAACTTTGTAACGGCTCAGCCAGCAGCTTCTCTATATCTCCGTATAGCACAATTTAATACTGTCCTCTGACTTTACAGAAAGGTAGGTACCAGCAACACTGGTTGGCTTTTTAACTTTGATGTCATCTGGAATCTAAAGCTCTCTTTTTTTTTTCCACAGGTCTAGCATGGACTTCACACACATGTGGATCGCAGCTGGCACTTTAAGATTGTCTCAACTGGGACCTCATGGACAGATGAAGAAAATCCGGCGTGTCATCACATACCCAGGATACAAGCAGTTGGAGGGAAATGATATAGCCCTGCTGGAGCTAGCTGAACCCTTGAAGTACAATGACTACATTAAACCCTTGTGCTTTCCAGAGAAAGGGGATGTGTTTACCAGAGCCAACCGCTGCTACATTGCTGGCTGGGGGCACACAAAAGGTGTTCAAGGTAAGTGAACATGTCAAGTTAGATGGGTTGTTAGTTAATTAGGTAGATAGATGGGTTGTTAGTTAGTTAATTTGTTAGTTAGTTAGATGGGTTGTTAGCATTTCTAGCTAGTATGTTGTTAAAATTTTTTCAACTGATGTCGGATATGTAAACATTTTCATCTAATATTATGGGTATGTTGCTAACATTATCAACTGTTATAACAGTTGATAATGTTAGCAACATACCCATAATATTAGATGAAAATGTTATAACAGATAACATTGTTATCTGTGATAGATATATTACTGGAATTTTAGCTGCGCAAGAACCTGCTATGAGATAATAATTTTTCCATTCCAGCCTGCTGTCTGAAAGTTTAACACTCCTGTTAACTAATGAAAGTTGCATCTCGGTTGTCAGTCAAGCGGGACTGATCCCAGATAACTTCGTTCAACCTGCTAACAAGTTATAATTTCTGCACTCATAATAGCTACACCAAATATATTTGTCTTTTCTGAGGAATGAACGTGTGTTGGGAAACAGACATTTTGGCTGGTGCAGCATTACCTATGGTGAATTGATGCATTACAGCTTAGATGCAGTCATATCCCTTTAGGAGCAAGTAAACAATGCAGAAGCACAAATAGATAATTATGTTACAGTGGGAAATCAGTGACTATGACAAGCACAAATAGGTAATTGTTACAGTGGGAAATAAGTGACTATGACAAGCACAAATAGATAATTATGTTACAGTGGGGAATCAGTGACTATGACAAGCACAAATAGATAATTATGTTACAGTGGGGAATCAGTGACTATGACAAGCACAAATAGATAATTGTTACAGTGGGAAATAAGTGACTATGACAAGCACAAATAGATAATTATGTTACAGTGGGAAATCAGTGACTATGACAAGCACAAATAGATAATTGTTACAGTGGGGAATCAGTGACTATGACATGCACAAATAGATAATTATGTTACAGTGGGAAATAAGTGACTATGACAAGCACAAATAGATAATTATGTTACAGTGGAAAATCAGTGACTATGACAAGCACAAATAGATAATTGTTACAGTGGAAAATCAGTGACTATGACAAGCACAAATAGATAATTGTTACAGTGGGGAATCAGTGACTATGACAAGCACAAATAGATAATTGTTACAGTGGGGAATCAGTGACTATGACAAGCACAAATAGATAATTGTTACAGTGGGAAATAAGTGACTATGACAAGCACAAATAGATAATTGTTACAGTAGGAAATAAGGGACTATGACAAGCACAAATAGATAATTATGTTACAGTGGGAAATGAGTGACTATGACAAGCACAAATAGATAATTATGTTACAGTGGGAAATGAGTGACTAGGACATCTGGCTAACTCTGTATTCTCAGAAGAAAGGCAAGATAGACATATGCTTCTGGTACCATCACCATTAAAATTCTTCACTGGCTGCTGAAAATAAGGATGAGTGCTTATGGAAATGTCTGTTGTGATGTAGTATTTTGGAACTGACTGTTGTGATGTAGTATTATTTTTTAACCTAACTCAGCATTCTAAATTAGTCTGTTTTGTGTGTGTCTTAGGCAGGTAGGGATGGGATGAATAGTACGTTTAGAAATTAAAACTCTACACACAAAAGAGGTATTCTCACTGGAGCTGCAGAGTTTGTCAGTGTGCTGACATTCTCCTGGTATGATTTTAAGAGGAGACTAGCACTTACAGAGAGCTACAATGAAAGTGATTCTTTTCAAACCAAACCAGAATAAAAGTCATACTTTGAGTATTTATTTCAGTCAGCCAGCCAGTTACCATCTCCACAGTGAAGGTTGGTATTGGAACCCCCAACTCATTATTTGGTCCAGGATGGTAGCCTCTCTGACCCCTGTTCATCTGTCTCTAGATGTTTTCCTCCCGCTTGACATACTTAACACCACTCGTTTTCATTTCCATCCAATATGGTTTTTTTTTTGTTTAAAAAAAAAGTTTTCTGTTAATAAGGCTGAAAGGTTTCACTTGTCTCTTATTATTTTTTTTTCTTCAACAACTTTTATGATTTCTAATCACTTAAAAACATCTGTATATTATTGTCTTTCTCTCTATGAAATAAAATCATTTTTTTTTTTTTTTTTAACATATCCACATCTCCAGAAAATGGGTAAGATTTTCAAATTTCTTCTTCCTTGTCCAAGGTCACTGCACCATACAGCAAGATTTAGTAAGCATAACATTTGACAGCTCTCATTTTAAATATATTTGACAGGAAGCTGATTACATCCCTTTTGCAAATGTCTGCAGGAGAAACTTCAGAACACCAGCAAGAGACAAAACTGACATTGTGGGATACAACAAAATGCAACAGCAGCTTTGTGTGGAATGGTCGTGTACAGCAGAGTGAAATGTGTGCAGGATATTTTAATGGTCTTGTGGCTGCTTGCTCAGTTAGTTTTTTCTTTGCAATTAATTTTGTTGTGTTTACACTTCTTTAGCCATGTTTTTGGTTGTGTTTTATTTCCAGCCATTGTTTTTCTATCTTTTTCCTCTTGCAAAAGTGACTGTTACTTACATTTTCTCTAGCTCTCTGTTTTCTCAACTGTTCAGTCCCAGGAAAAATTTCTTTAATTGTACTTAATGCATTTATTGCTTTAAATATTAACAGTTAGGTCTAAAATGGTTCAAATGTGTAATGAATGTACTATTAGGTGAGACAAAATAAGTTACAAGTAATATACTCTTATAAGCATTAACTCTTGAGTCCCAGGGGATTAGCATCAGAGGCCCAAGGGGTGGTAATGCCATTTTTTAAGTTCACGTGTAAGACATTAAAACAGACCATAGTAATTCAATTGCAGTGCAACATACACATTTTATACATCTAAGTGACCAGGGATTTTTGAGGAATAATTTTGGCATAGAGCTACAACAAATAATTGCGTTAGTAATTAAAAATTAGTAAATAAACTGACGGTATGTTTACAAAAATTAGTAAAATAAAATTTTAAAAATTCCACTTACCACCATGGCACTTAAGGAAAACTGGTTAAAATATATCCAAAATGAATCACAAATTAATGTGAACTACTTAGTAATGTATAAGTAAAATATAAACTCTATACATTAGATTTTGTTCTAGAGAATCTTTTGAAGCATCATAACAGAGCATTATTATTTGGTAAAGAAAACTGACTCCCCCAAAAAGATAAGTATCTTCACCCATAACAAAGTTTATCTAACATTCAATTTGCCTGTAATTTTGTAGCTATGTTCCTAAATAATAAGGGGAACAGCACTATAACTAACTGACACTGAAGAAAATTGTCTATTTACTAATGTTTATTCTTTTTGTGCCAGCTGACTTTGATATTGTTGTACCCTTCGTGTGAGGTACACATTAGACATATCCCTCATCAAAGTTTGACTCTATAAATGATGGAAACACGCCTAATTTGCAACGTTATCTAACTTCGGATAAATCTAAAAGGACATGTACTTAATTTAAATTTTAAGCTTCTAAGGCCGTAAATCACGTTGGCATGCATGTAGAATACTGCTTGGCGGCAATATTCTTTTCAAACACTTAGTAACTTGGTAATCTCGCAAATATACTATATTTTCAGCTTTCAGTCCATGTTTCTAAATGAGCACGCTTGATATCAGACACAAAGAACTTGAAAGGAAGTTGAAATTGAGCGGTCCGCGTTTTACAACCGGTCAGTGGTAGATTAAAAACCTTCACTTGTCACACGTCGATTGTGCCCCTAGGTTAAAACAAATTAGCTCGTGATGCATTCCCAGGGACTCAAGAGTTATATCGTTTAATGTTTAAAGTATCAGTTGAAATATTAAGTATTATAATAAGTTCCCAGAAAACATTCAGGTGTCTGTAATAAGCCAGGCTCATAGATGAGCTACTGCCACTGCTATAGGCAGCCAGTTATGACAGTGCAGGTGTGGTGAAGTCTTTCTGAGATCAAGTGGACATTGCATCAGAACAGAGTGACTGTACCTGGAAAGACCTATTCAGCTCGGAGTGAGCAGAGAGTCTGGATGATCTTCAGCATCAGGAAAAAGTGTTTGTTTATTTAATCTCAGCAACTAGTACTACTGTTATGGGATCTCTTTGTTGGCCATTGAGCTTATGTTGGATTATCCTGAGCACAGTGATGTCAATTCATAATTCATTCACTCCTTCCCATAAGCTATCATTGAGATTATTTAATAAGTTTATTTTAGATTATTTCCATGCTTTCTGTAGTAATTATATGCCAGGTTTTATTCAGTGTTGCTTACTTCAACTTCCAGGGTGACAGTGGCAGTCCAGTTGCCTGTCAGGATGAAACAAAGACTTGGAAAGTTGTTGGTGTGGCCAGTTATGTTTACAAAACATGCAGTGTGGCCACCAAGCCTCTAGTGTTCACTGATACCAGCCTGTACATTGATTGGATCAATAATCACACAGGTAAATTGATGCAGGGACAATAGCACAGTAGTTATTCTGTTCAACTGTCAAGATAGAGGCCATTATTCAATCCCAAGTAGACACAGCTTTTTGTCTGTCTGGTATGATTCTGTTATCATGTTTAAATTGTGTATCTTTTCTGCAGCAATTAACACATGTAAGTCATTGTATCTTATTCAGTCACTGAAGAAAAACAAGTGGAGCTTTTTCCGTGAAATGTTACAGAACTTTTTTTTAAGAAATACTATTGAAAAGGCAAAATAAGAACATTGACATCTTATTTGATCTTAACATCGATAATAACTGGCTCATAAACAGCATCCTGCCCCCAAAACTCAGGTATTTTGGCAGTGTTAGTTATTATGGTGGCCTGGAAACAATTTGTATTGGAGGCTACAATTTAGAGAAAATATAACGGAGACCAACCTCCATGAATGTGGATACAAGACATTGAATATTTATTGGCTGTGAATGTGCAGATAGGCTAAAGAGATTTTCAGGTGTGCCGTAATAAGAGCGATGTTCTGTAAAAATAAAAATTAAAATAAAAAAACAACTTGCTGATTGATGGTGATGATGATTCTGTGGTTGACCTAGCCTCATACAGCTAGGCACCAGATAAGCTTCGGGATTGTCTGCAAATGAAAAAACTTGAAGGGATGAAGCTATCATTGTGAGCCCACATACGAGATGCTTTGAAGGTCTCGGGTTTGCTTTAATACTTTTTATTCACTAGTGCATTTTAAATTTAAGATCCTTCCTGGTCATCATTTCTGTACCACACTGTGGGCAAGCAGAGGATAACTGATGTCGAATCCAGGACTGTGAAGTCAATCCTGTCATATTTGATTATCTTTGCAATCTTTTTTTATCAATACAATTAAAAGTGAAGGACCCTTATCATGCACAGGTTCAATTGGCATTTCATGCTAGACTCAGTTTTATAGGTCAGTGGGCACTCAGTGAGTGATGTGGACAACAAAGCACTTGTGTCAAGAACCTACGTTGTCTAGGGTTCGAATCTATTGGCTGCGCAGCAAGCTAATGACAGGAAAAACACTGCTGACAAACACACCCAAGCCAAACATTGGTTGAAACACACACACATAATCTTTGTTATCAAAAGAAACTAACTCTTGGTCTACACCTCAGAAGGGGTAGTGCTCTTTATTCTGAAACCAGGCAGCTTCTAACTTTACAATCACTAGACGCGCCTTTTCACATTCATGAAATAAGCTCTGAGCCACTACCACACTCCAGCACTCACCTATGTCAGGCCTGCGTGAATTCCACTGGTGTTCAACAAGCCTCGTTCAGCTGACATAGATTTATCCGTGTCTATACATGCCCAGAGTTTAGTTAGAAGTCACAGCGTATATTGTTGATTTATCATCACACTGAACTGTCCCATAACCGAGTCAACTCCTGACAACTTGCCACTATATGTCTCAAGACATTATCTGGTGCCCATTTTAGACTGGGTTGACCTGCAGTCTGAAATCAAGTTTCCCCACAGAAATCTGCCTAATGTGGATTTGAACCCAAAATGTTTGGGCCAGCAGTCTACCACATCTTCCATTCAATCACTTTTATGGTGTTATAAAAGTAGTAGTTGCTATAGTGATAGTTAATAAATAACAATAAAACCTAGTTAACAATAACTGCTAAGATCTGAAAAATCAAAAGTTTTTGTTAACAAGTTCATGCCAGTCAATGACTTGCATTAATACATTACTGGTGGGACCACAAGTGTGTTCATGTGAACAGAGCATTCTTCTTAAGTGTGTTCATATTAACAAGGATTAACTGTATTAACATCTAAAAATATGTATGAAGTATCATTTAAAATAACACACAAAAACTGAGCTTTATTACAAACTCTTGAAAACAGATTTATGAGGAATCTTTGGACCCATCAAAAATGTAAACAGTGGAGATTAAGAGTGAGAAGCAACAGTGGAAGTCATTTCTTTCAATCCTAAGCAATTATTACTCCTTCTTTTATTCCAAGGTGCTGAGCTTAACAGCTTCAGGTGGTTAGGTCTGGAGGTGTTCAACAAAGACATCATAGAACAAAAGTAGTTAAACTAATTAAGGTTTAAGGGGCAAATACAACATCTGTCTGTGACAGAAAAGAGCAAGAACTTTCTGTTGTCTTTGGCATGACCAGTAAACAAGTGATGAGCTATTTGGTCATGAAATCAGCCCTAATGTCTGATCTCATGAGGTCTAATAGACTGAGACTTGCATTCTGTAGTAGTATATTACAATCCATTACCTTTTCAAACACTTAATTTTCTTTTTAACTTTCTCTTTCATTGCTTCAGATGTTGAGGGAGATCTATATACTGCTTTTTGCTCTTCTGGCCGCTTTGACCATAGACACATCATACTGTTGTAGAGTTTCTCTAGTATTATTCTTCCATGTGTTTTAGGTCTACCTCATGCTCTACATCCCTCTGCTTTTTTTGTGTAGGATTTGTTTGGTATGGGGGTCACAAGGCATTCTCTCTCTGTGGGCAAAGCCATTTTATTTTTTTTGTCTATGTATATAATTTAGTATTGGTTGTATGCTGTCTTTTCTTTTATGACTTTATTTCCGCTTTTATTCCAAATTCTCATTCCTGTATTTTATCCTTTTCAGTATGCCAGTTTACTTGTGGTGATGGAATATGCCTGTTTGACAAGAAAATGCTGTGCGACACTGTGGCTGACTGCAAAGACAAAAGTGATGAAATTGATCTTTGTGGTGAGTATTTATGAATTAGCGTACGTAAATCCTCTTTGTAATTTCCTTTTTGTAATTTCTTACAAGCATTTTTTTTATCCCAAATGCCATCACATTGTTCTAGTTTTACATACATTTTAAAGTTATTTAATGTTTACTGATATAATTTAATGTACAATTTTTCTGTTTCATGCAAATTTTCATGCTCTCTTCGTTTCATGCATTTTTTTTATTTTGTGGACACAAATTTTCATATTTAACATAAATTTTTCCTGACCTACACACATTTTTCTTATTTCTTGTATTTTTTCTTGTCATGTGTGTAAACTGTGCTTGTATATTGATCATGTTTATGGAAATCAGAGCAACATATTATAGCCTCAGGACTGCCACTGGGATCTGCCATCTCTCCTGTGCTCTTAAACGTGTATACAATTAAGATTGCGAGCCTAGAAGCCCCAGGTAATGAAATGATACTGATATTTGCAGATGATATTCTTGCGTACAGTCAGGGGAGGGAACAAACAGCCTAGGAACTACAGGCAACAGTAGACAGTGATTGACTGGTGTATAGAAATGAGTGCTGTCATAAACCCAGAAAAGGTGTCTGTTTTATGGTTTTCTGAAAACTACAGGATTGTTAGAGGTGATGTCCCAAGTCTCACGATAGATTGTACAAATGTTAACAGAGAAAGCAAACTGATGTACTAGGGAACGAAATTTGACAGGAGTGTCCTTCAAGGACTGTGTGGAGGCGTTTGTGACAAGATGCCAAAAGTCGGAAAAAAATTAGGCTGTCCATCAGGATCTTAACCCATGACCTTCCATTCCATAGCTGAGCATCTAGCTGTTAGACCACAGCGGCTCCCCTGACTAACCTTAAGATGTACAAATATACAAAACATGTTGATTGATGCACTTGAGTAATATTCAGCACACATAGTGTGTTGTTTGAACTGAAAAAAATAACAAAAACCTTTAAGGGTTTCAGTTGCTAACTAAAAGGAGAAATCATTTGCCTTAAGCTTTGAAGGTCTTGGGATCATTTCACAGTTGCACCATGTGATGAAAGAGTGCAATTTGTTTAGAGATCCTTGAGGATCATGGCTAGAGCTTTGTAGTTCATACTTTGTGCAACAGTCTTGGCAAATGGATAGCCATGCAATGGACTAAGACTGAGCCACATGGGATCAAATATAGGTCACCACAACTGGTCCTCTTAGCTTAAAACCCTGTCTCTCTCAGGGATCCCTGTGTGGGTTCCAGGGGAGTCCATTGAAGGCAGAAAAAAAAGACTACTGTGCCCCCCCCTCCCCACCCACCCCACAACAAGCATGTCATCAAATAGACTATTTAGTGTTATCTTTGATGTCAAAGTACATCTGCCCAACAGGCAAGGAACCAAGTCTTCCTAAACTTGAGACAGATCTGTACAACAGATTTGCATGCAAGACTCAAGTTCTGGAACAAGACATGAAGTCCAGAAGTGGAGGAACTACTAGAACATCTGGTGAACACAAAACAGTAGAAGAACACAATTTATATGATCTTTATGGGATCATCACTGGAGCTGTTGAGTTTGTCCTTTGTGTGATGCTTTCAGCAGGTGGCTAGTCATTCTGCAGACACACCCTGTTGTATGGAATAACCCGGAGCACTGAAGTCAGCCCTCTTGACATTAACTTTACCTATCAAAGAAATATGAAAATATTTTATACTAAATTACTGTGATTGGTGTTATTTTCAGATGTCTCAGCAAACTGCAGTTTCACAGAAAAATTTGTATGTGGATATCAGTCTAAATGGCAGTTGACCTCAAGTCGGGGGACTGATTCTGACAATCGCTTTCCATTATTTGATCACACCATTGGCAATTTTCGAGGTAACTTTCCTTTCATTGACTTGTCCCTCTTAGAAAATGTTTTAACTATTTCAGTTGCAAACAGATGTTACTTTAGCTCTTCTAACCCTCTCTGTGTTATCCTGTCTTTGTTTACCATAGATGCCTGGTCAGTGAACTGTTATACCCTGAGGTATATTTTTGGTTTTGCATTAGTCTACATTAAAAAAAAATACAAAATGGCAAGAAAACTGGTTAATTAAAGTTGAAGAAATAACGGAGTTTCTTTCAAGGAGTAATAGTACAGATCAGTTTGAAATGTGTGAATTATAAGGTAGGTTGTTTTCATGGGACACTGGTGGACATGTGTACTTCTGGCCATGAGCAAGACCATCTGACCCAGCCATCAACATTGACTGGATTTGAAATGGATCCCCAATGATCAACAAAAGGATACGGCCACGTACTGACATGGTGTTAAAAATTAATTTTCTTTTGTACCATACAACAGACAGTGCATACGTCTGTCTATCGTATTGTAAAATACTGGTCTTATTTTCGCTTATTATTATCAAGTGAAATTCAAAACATTTAAAGAATGTGCTTGCTGATGATCAGAAGGCTACTCTTGTGGTCGCTCCTCCGCCTCCATGGTGTTTCTACTATGTATATGGTAGCGGTGGAGACAACGATGTAGACTTAGCAGATACATTTTGTTTTTCACTATCACTAGTGAAACTAGGCAATTAGGTCTAGTTTCTAGTGATTCCTTTCTGTAAAGGCCAGGTGTCTTGGAGTCACCATAGTGCATCTGATTTATCAACACTCGCACCAAGCACCCACTATCTTAGGGTGAATATTTGGCAAGTGTTAAAAAATATAGCCTGCATCACCGTTGCATTATTTGCATTTGGGAGAAAAGTATTCAGCACAGGGGAAAGGATGAGCAGGGAAACTTGCTTAGCACAGTGGTAATGGTGGCTGCTAAGTACGTAGCAGCACAATTATTTCAGATTACCACTCAGTGACTGCGAGCCACAATTCAGATTAGAATACAACAGGAGCAAATCCCAGAAACCCTGGTCAACCATCTAAGCTATTTTTGGACACCCAGTGGTTACGAACTAACCTGTAGTCCAATGTAGGTGGGGTTTGCTGCCTGTTTGACATATCAGCAGGATCATGAGAAAATACCATTACTTCTGGGTTTTTCCCACCGTCCAAATTAAGATTGTTCTGTCTTGGAATTTTTGTATAACTGCCAATGTAATTTGGTTTCAAACATTCATACATGCAGGAATGTATTTGCTTGGAAACAGTCGAGGGGATGACCTCATAAGCCCACGCATTGATATCAATACTTCCCATTGCATGCGGTTCCATTATCACATGAGGGGAAGAGTAGATCAAGGAATGGCCGTGTCTGCTCACAGTCTGGACCGTAAGCAATGGAATACTGTATGGAATGTAGAACAGGTATGCCAAATCAAGATTTTAAAAAAATTATAATTTTAAGAGTGGCATCTCTGGCTTGGGGGTTATGAATCCCATTTCACAGTTCTGATATTGTGGGTTTAATTAAGCTGTAGGTGATTTATTAGCAGACTGCATTATGTTGATTTTGACAGAAGTATGCGACTAGCTGCTACCCCACTGAAGTGCCTCTGAGCATTCAGTCAAGAGTTGCAAAAACAACCAAACGTAACATTAAAAAAAACACCACAGACAGCCAACAAACACTGACTGGGGTTGGTTTGCATGGAGCTGTAAAGGATATACATCTAACTTTGTTTATTTATGTGTTAGAGAAGGGCTAATAGCACTCACATAAATAATTTCTTGTGCAGCCCTGTCAACAGAAATATTAGGTTCTGTTTGCAAAGTGTTGCCAAAATAGTCTTCTACTTAGAATTCATTTTTTTTTCACATACAGGAAAGGACAAAGCTGATAGGCAAAATACAGGAAAGGACAAAGCTGATAGGCCAAATACAGGAAAGGACAAAATACAGGAAAGGACAAAGCTGATAGGCAGTCATTAAATTACAAAGATGTTGAATGTCAAAAATATGTATGTTTCTGTCACCAGCTGTGCATGTTTTTTTTTTTTTTTTTTTTTAATTTGTTTAAAAAGATAATAAAATGTAAACTCAGCAGTGGCTGTTGTTCATCATTGCAACAACTCTTGACACAGTGCCTGTTGAAACTTTTAACCCTTTACTACTCATCAGATGTTACTTTAGTTGATTCTGCTTTAATTTAATTATATGCAATAAAACTTGAGCTTAAAATTTAAGAAACAAAAAATAGCAATGTTAAAATAACAATTTTGTGAGGTGGTATAATGCTTGTAACAAAGGGATGGGTCACAGAGTTAATAGTTAGTATGCCATCTTATTTGAAACAACAACAACAACAAAATGGTGCATTTCTTGGTACTCAGGACTAAAATCTGCCAAACTTGCTGCTCCAGATTTATGTTGTTTATAATATCTATTAAATGGGGGTTCTTAAAACTAAAATATGAGTGTATCCATAGTAGGCTTTAAAAAAAAGATGGGGCACCAACAAATAGGTTTATGGGCCTGTCAATACTGTGGTGACACTAATTGTTAATGCAGCAATAATGGCGGCCCTGCAGCTTACAGTGTTTGGTAAGGATTGATTTAAAAACTAAAACAATTTAAAAAAATTTTTATTTTGTATCTTGCCATTATTGACAATGCCGTAAGTTTCTCTTTTTTGCCAAACAGACCATAGGTCCTGATCGCTGGTTAATGGGAATGTTCGACCTGGCACCTGGTAATTATGATGTTGTTTTCCGCCCCCATGACAATCGTCGATTTGCTTTAGATGACATGTGGCTCATTGAAGGAAAATGTGAAAAATTGGGTGAGTTGTACAGAATACTGAATTATGTTATTTTTTTTTGTTTTAGTACTTAGTCTTTCCAAAAAAACAATGAACTTTTTCATTGACCTTCTAAACATCATATGATGTCTTACTTTAGAAATCTGACTTCCCTGTTGACCAGTTCACTAAGCGTTTTGTGTCCTTAACTATTTAAGTACAAGGCAACTCACCAAACACTTTGTTCTATTCATAACGTGCATTTCTTAACTTCTGTAGCATTTCCTTAGTTGTATTTACTGACTATAATGTCTGCTGTTTTAGCCATAGCTGTATTATTTTCTCTTAACGGGTCACTTCAGGAAAAAATTTTTTTTTTTTTTTTTACCTACAATGTAAGACCAATTATTTTATAATGGTCATTTGTAGTTATGTATGTTGATACATTTGTAGACTTCAAGTGTAAAAAAATATGGTTGCCATGGCAACAGCCGCCATTTTGATGAAAAAAAGATATAATTAGACAGCTAAAATTTCAAAAACAAACAGAGGTATTGAAAAACAGATGATCGATTCATGGACTTTAAACTTATGTTTAGGGTCAGGTCTAGTTTATTTACTTCAAAGATGTTTTTAAACATTTTTTTTTAGAATATTAAAATTTAGGTATGTTGAAAAAAATACAAAAATGTCGCTTTTTAAGATAATAATCACATTTTTTTCAAAATTGCTTGAAAAACTGTAATTTCAAATAGACCTGACCCTATAATATTGTGTTAGAAGTACCCACACAAAATTTCACATTTCTAGTCTTTATATTAGCTGAGATTTTAGGAGATCCCACACACAACAAACAGAAAAATTTTATTGTTAGAAAAGTGCCTTCTAAACTTTTTTTATCTTAAAAAAGTGCATGGGTTGGTGTCTTTAGTATTAACTTTTCAATGCTAAATTGTTTACCAATGACACACATTTTGTGTGTAATCTATTCTACCAATCCCGAACATTACAAAAATGAACATATTGAAAAAGTGATATTTTTGTCATAAATTGGAACAAAATGCCGTGTAGTGACCCCTTAAAGGCACACAGATTGTTGCTGTAAATACTCTAACAACTTTTGAACAGGGTATAAAGATGTAGTAACTACCTTGGGCTAAAAAGCTAAAATTAATGCACTTCTGGTGGCATCTTGGCGAAGTGGTTCATCTTCACTTGATCTGCTTTACTGCATCTGATTTCTCCATCTAATTTTCCATCTTGAGTGATCGAGCTGAGTTTCAAGAACTGGCCTCCCAGTACTCAAGACATTCCCATATGTACTCTGTCTGCATGTCAGTTACAATCACGGGCTGATTCTCAAGCTAATAAAAGGCTGCAGTGATTACCTACGCCTCCATTCTCAATCTAGATGTTGTGATTTCATATGCTAGATTTTGATGCACTAAGGGTCACCCATTTGCTTTAGCTGTGAACCCCCATGCACTTCTTCTGCCTCTTAACACAGACCATCGGTATAGATAACCACAGCACCGGGGTGGGAATTGTTATGAATCAGTTATTGAATTTATGATTCTGCAGCTCCTGCTGGCCAGTCCCTGCACTCTCGACCTAATGTGATTAGAACTCTACAAAAGTCAGATTTGTGCTCGGCCATGTTGACCACTCATTTCCTCACCAAATATTTTTGAGCGTGTACACAGGTCTAGTCTTCTCCCTGTCCTTTCAAAGACTTTCCTCTTTTCAGTCAATGACCATTGGCTGTCTCTGGAGCTTTATGCAAGAAGTGTTTTTTGTCTGCAGCAGCTTCAAGGGAGGATCGGGTGTGGATCACTTTGAGCCTGTCTGCAGCAGCTGGCAGTGCAAGTTTATATCGCATGCACATAACTGGTGTATATCTTATTCTGTTATACACCCAGTTATGCATTCATGTTTTATCAGCTGACTGTTTGATATGGTGAGCATTCCAGTCCCATAACCTATCACAAAGACGATCACATGCTGAAACATTGTGATCAGCATTCTTTGTTCGATGTCCATTGCTGCCATAATCTTGAGCACATTGAGCACTTTTGGCTCTTTGCTTCAACAGCCTCCAAGTGATCCCTGAAGGTCAGGCTTCTGTCGAAAGTGATACCCAGGTGCCCTCAGTTTCTTATCTTTCAATGTTACTGTCATTATCAGTGATGCTTGGGTCATCAGCTCTTACAATCCAGAGAACACTATAAAACAGCCGCATTTTCTGAGTTGATGACAGCACCCACCTCTGCACACCAGTCAGTCACTTTGTCTACAGTTGCCTATAACTCTTGCCTATCACTCCCCTGTGTATAGGCAAGAACATGATCTGCAGATGGTAATATCCTTCCAACACCTGGTGTTTCAGAATCTGCTATCCTGCTTGTATACACATTGAAGAGCAGTGGTGAAATTTCTTAACGATGAGGTAGTCCCAGGTGATATTTAATTTTTGTAAGGTCCATGTGCCCAGATGGAGAGCAACACTGCGTGAATGCAGAACAGCTGCTGTCCAGTTCACCAGCCAGAGACCGATCCCCATTTTCATAAGAGCAGACATCAAAATATCATATCTAACTATTGCAGGCATCCTCAAGATCAGATTCTGAGTCCAGAAGTGGACAACCAGTACTTTCCGCCTGAGTTTAAAGCGGGTAAATGTGAAGAATTATTTCAGAAAGTATGGTCTCATATGCTTGCCATGTCTTTCTCTGTATTTCATTGCCTGCCATCACCAGCATTGTATCTACGATCTCCAAACATTGCCCCAGTAAAAATTTTAAAAAAATTAACAAAAAGAAATGAATTCATAAATGAAAACATGACCTTGAGAATGGGATGCAGATAGTTTTGTTCACTTCACCACAGGAACTTTTTTCAAGTTATTATTAACAATTGATAGTATTCAACTTATTACATTTTGTTTCTAAGAAGAATTAGAAATTTGAAACTTTGAATTTTCTTTTCACAACAGACTGCTTTCCTGGTGAATTCATGTGTCTAACTTTTGAAGCCAAGAACTGTCTCCCCGTTGCTTCAAGGTGTAACATTGTCGTCGATTGTGATAACGGTGAAGATGAGGCTGATTGTGCAGGTGAGGGATGTAGAGAACGAAATGTATAAATAATTGTGGCTTGACACTTCAAAAAAAAGTTTTTTTTTAATATTTGTGGTACTTCATTGATTCTCTGACAGTCAGTATCTGGGGACTGATATATATGTCTGTGATATGTGGTCAATATTTGGGGACTGATGCTTATGTTTGTGACATTTGATCAGTATCTGGGGACTGATACTTCTGTTTGTGACTGCTGATCAGTATTTGGGGACAGATACTTCTGTTTGTATCTGGCAAACTCGGACTGGTTCACAGTGAAAACAGGAGTGAAACAAGGCTGCATCCAATCACTGATGCTCTTTGGAAAAGCAGTTGATTTGGTCATGCACAGATACACAGACAACACAAATATGAGTATCAAATTGTTTGACAAAATTCTAGAAAACTGACTTTGCTGACGGCATAGTGCTTTTGAGTTCCAGTACCCAAATATCCAAGAGAAAACAAATCATCTCCAAAATGTTTAGGACAAATTAGTCTCCAAATTAACACAGCAAAGACAAAAATTATTGATCTTACCAATAGTCTAGACGACATCAAACTAAACAACCATATTCTTAAAAAATTCTAACAGCTTTACATATCTAGGAAGTAAGATATCTATAGGCGACTCTGCACCAGAAATATCTTCTAAAAATCACTGGCATCTAGTGCCTTTAACAAACTGACCAACATCTGGAAGTCAGAGACACTGCAAACACACAAAACTTTAACTTATGGCTGCGAGAGTTGGAAAGCAATGATATCTGTAGATACTGTATTAGACAGTTTTGAGAGCAAATGTCTTAGAAGAATACTAAATCTCCATTGGACAGATTATAGATCTAGTACGCAAATAAGACAAGAGATTAAGCAAGATAATGTATCCAATTTTTTAAGAAAGCTCAGCCAGAACTACATTGGACATGCACTTAGAATGGATAAGACAAGACTTCCCCCTCAAGCACTCATATGGGCACCGGAAGGAAACAGAAAATAGGGAAGATAGAGACTCTACATAAAACCATCATCAGGGAAGGTTCAACTCTAGCCCTAACAAACATCCAAGACCTAAAACAGGTGGCAATGAACCGCCATACATGGAAAACTTTTATTTCTGCCCTATGCGCTGCCCTAGGCTCAAAAGGAAAGACTAACTTATGTTTGTGACAAATGATCAACATTTATGATCAACATATACCCACACTACAGGGAAGCATGGAAATCAATCCATGTTTCTGGGTAATTAAGGCTACGGATATATTTCCTTCTGTCCATAAAACAGAGCCTGGGTAATACTGTAGAGACCATGTGATGCCAAACAGCATTATTCCTCTTAAGACCTGCCTTGTTTATTCTTAAAAAAAGGTAGCACCAGTACCTTTGGAACAAGGCATACTGCAGATGTTGTTAGATCTGTCTCCACCTGTCAGAGCTGTCTTCCTAGACCAGCTGCCAAATGAGGTAATGGCCAGGTCTCTCTGCCATGCCAGATCATGTTACTATTGGTAACATACACACATTTTCTGTGGGAGATGGAGTGTCTGTGGGTATGTCTGATGTGCTTTTTAAATCAAAGTGAATCAGTTTCTGTATGAAACTTTAGTGATTAGAATGTAAGTTGAGCCTTTAACTTTAAAAAAAAAAAAGGTAGACGTACTTATCTGAAAGTGAGCGAAGAATGAAGAAGAGGAAACAGTAACAATTGTCATTTACATTTCAAAGGGTAAAGTAATGTTACACATATTTTATTGTTACTCCAGCACCAGCAGTCTACACATGTGACTTTGAGAATGGCAACATTTGTTCTCTAGAGCAGCACACTGACGACACAACTATCAGTGAATGGATCATGACCAACTCCAGCAACACACCATACCATATGCCAGATCACACATTTGGAAATGCTTCAGGTTAGTAGAAAAAAAAACACATTATGAAAATACCAAATGCATGTCACGTTTACAGAAAACAATACAAATAAACAAAGGAGTTTGCAGTGACAAGCCTTCGTCAGCAAAAATCGAGAATCATAACAATGCACACAAATGATATTTTTTCATTGCGTATTTGTGTAATTCTGTAATATCTATAATTATTTAAGTGATTCCTGTTTTTATTTTATTTGAAATATTATTCTATTCACACTTTCTTTGTTATGATTCATCAATATTCACACCTTCTGTGTTATTATTAATTAATATTCACACCTTCTGTGTTATAATTCATTAATATTCACACCTTCTGTGTTATGATTCATCAATATTCACATCTTCTGTGTTATGATTCATTAATATTCACACCTTCTGTGTTATAATTCATCATTATTGCCCTGTTGTGCTACTACATGTGGCTGGCAGTCTATTGGTTATATCTTGTGCAATCACTTTGATATCATGGATGGAAAAAAAAAAAAAAAAACCTGGGAGACATACTCAGTACGAGACAGGAAAACTTATGGCTATGTCCAATGTGCATTAATGACCTTTAAATGAACAGTGAATTTGTCTTTCATGCAGTTGTTTAATATAAAGCACATTTTACATTTCACCTAGGAACATTTCCAGAAAAGTTACCTGGAATGTTAGACATGTAAGATCTGTTCAGTACATTATAAATTAGAAAGGTTACAAAGAATTATGCAGCCACATGTATATGCAAACCCGTCCCATAGGACAGCAACTATCTTGGTAATTGTATGATGCCACATTATAACTGTTTCATGTGTGTGAACACTATAACTGTTTTATATGTGGATAAACATTTGACTGTTTTTTTTAATGGGTGAACACTAAAACTGTTTTGTGTGGGTAAACAGGGTTTCTGAGGTTTGCTTAACATTTAAAAAGTGTCCCCTTGAGTGATTGGGTATCAGTCTTTCAGGCTGCAACCTCAGTGTGGAACAAACAAACCAAAAATAAATAGTAAAAACTTGTTACTTGAAATTCCCTGTCGACGGGGTCACCCTATAACTGCTGCATTCCTTTGCCAGTGGCAGTAACAATAAAATGTCCATTCACTGTCCCATTTGAAAACTATTGAAAAACTTCAGTCCCAGGAAAATCTTAAAACATGTACATGCAAAGTAAAAATGCTTCAGATGTTAGACGTGTCAACACAAATGATCCTACACCAGTATTGCAGCTTGCTGCTGGTGCAAACGGTCAGTCAGCACAACATAGCCAGAAACAAATAACTTTTCAGAGCATTGGCAGTCAACCTGCCATCTACTGTTTGATGAAAAGTCTTCATAGGAACTTATACTTCAAACTCAAGACATTTAGTAAAATAAACTGACAAACTGAAAAGCAAGAGATGTGGTAAAACGATAAAGTACAGCTAATGAAGATTGGTCTGAGACTAACTCATCTCATAGAAAACTTTAGTTGCAAAACTCACCCATTCATACAAAAAATCTACAAAACTCGCTCATCTGAAAACAAGTCTACAAAACTCACTTATTGATGAGCAAATCTGTAAAACTCACTCATTCGTGATCAGGTCTACAAAACTCAGTCATTCACAAGGAAGTCTAAAACTCTTATGAGCAAACTACAAAACTCACTCATTCAAGAGCAAGTCCACAAAACTAGCTCATCTATAAACAAGTCCACAAAACTTGCTCATCTATAAACAAGTCAACAAAACTCTCTCATACCCAAAGCCCATGGAACTCTCACTCACTCCTGAACGTCAACAAAACTCACTCATACATGAACAGGTCTACGAAACTCATTCATTCACCATCAAGTCTACACAACTCACTAACAAGTCTAGAAAACTCACTTATTCATGACAAGTCTAGAAAGGACCTCATGTTAGTTGTTGGAGATCTAGTCTCCGTTGGAAGAGAAAAATGTTTCAAGTAATTTAATTTTGGTTTAATTGTTCATTGACTATTTTTCTTCTCAGTGACAGTTTCCATAATAAACTTTATTTTTTAGGCACTCTTTTGAAGGTCAAAACAGAGGCGTTACTTCCAAGGGACCAAATTTTTATGTCTCAGCAGCTAAACCTCAGAAACATGGAACATTGCCTCCAATTCTTTTATGCATTAACTTCTCCTGTCACACTACAGGTAATGGTTGAAGATGTCTTTGTGGTAGAGTCATTAGTTCACTTGGTTACTTAGATACTGGTCTGGATTCAGGTCCCAGTAACAAAATTTTTTTGGGCTAAAGCCAGCTTGACTCTTGCCTGCCAGTATTAAGTTCAAATCCGCACCTTGACAGATTTTTTACAAATTAATCTTGGCTTCCAGGTAGTAAGTTGGTTGCGTATCCTTTACAGGACTTAACAGAACCAACCACATTTTTTGGCTGTTGGGTTTTTTTTAAGGCAAATTTTACATTCAGAAGTTGCTATTCTTGTATTTATTCTTGTAAGTTACTGAACAGTCAGCTCTTGATACCACGTTGAAACTAGGGCAAGACAAATCGGCCACAGCTGGAATCGAACCCGACACCCCGGCATTACAAAGCGTATTCACAATGCCTAAGCCACAGATTCCAATAGACCCAGCCTAAAAAAAGGTGTCAGAAAATATCCTCTTAAGTGCACCTGACAATGTGGGTATGGGTTAAAATGTTAAGTTGGCTTCAAATGCCAGATTCTCCAGAATTGTATGGGACTTGTCTTCAAAGAAAAGGCAACAAAGAAAACTCTTTCTTTACTTGTTTGAATGACTTTCTTGCAAGACTACTGGGGTGTTTCAATGGCTTTCTTGCAAGACTACTGGGGTGTTTCAATGGCTTTCTTGCAAGACTACTGGGGTGTTTCAATGGCTTTCTTGCAAGACTACTGGGGTGTTTAAATGGCTTTCTTGCAAGACTACTGGGGTGTTTCAATGGCTTTCTTGCAAGACTACTGGGGTGTTTCAATGGCTTTCTTGCAAGACTACTGGGGTGTTTCAATGGCTTTCTTGCAAGACTACTGGGGTGTTTCAATGGCTTTCTTGCAAGACTACTGGGGTGTTTCAATGGCTTTCTTGCAAGACTACTGGGGTGTTTCAATGGCTTTCTTGCAAGACTACTGGGGAGTTTCAATGGCTTTCTTGCAAGACTACTGGGGTACACAGATGAGCAAGGGATTGTTGGTCTGATGTACTCAATGCCCTTAGGGTCATGGGGCAATGAAATGTCAAGGTTGTGTGAATCTGCTACCTTGACCAGAATACAAGAACAGAACATTAAAAGGCAGGGAGACAGAACAGTGCTACGCAGAAGGCGAAAGAAGTGTAGTAAACCAATGACTACACACTTCTATCGCAATACATAATCTCGTCATCCCCATGTGGGATGTAATTTTTAGTTATTTTGAAGCCCCACCCTGGCTTTTGCCGGGGGCCCTAAATATAGCCTGGCCTGAAATATAGCCTTGGCTAAATGAGGCTTCTGGGACCTCTCCAGGGGTGATCCTCATCCACATGGAGGCACTTTGTGTGACTGGGTGTTTATCGCTTGTGTGATGTCCTGGTGGGGTACAACTTACATATATACATATGACTACACACTGAGGAATATACTGAGATCTGATCACTTATAAATGGAATAGTTCAAGGGTCAGCGAAGATAATATATCAGATAATTATCTACAACTTCAGTAAAACCTTGTTAACATAAATGGGGACTGAAATACTCATATAAAGAGTTTGTGTTAAAACAAAATGTGTGCTAATTGGGGACTGATAGTGTTATGAATATGTCATCCCTGCTGGGACTAGTGTTTGTTGACTGAGTGTTCTTCTTAAGCTAGTTTATTTTAAAGAGGTTTTACTTTTTAGGGTAGATTCCATGGCAAAGTGATCAAGTGATTCGTCTTGCTCCCTGTAGGTTGTGGTTTCATTTCACTAGATTTCTTGAGCCCTTCATTTAGTTCACATGTGCAGTTTTTACAGAGATCTCTGGAGATTGTTGCTGGAGCTAGGGTTCCTACTTAATGGAACTCAACAGGTGGCTAGTCATTCGACTAACAGAAACCAGTGACTCAGTTTATTCTCTTGACTTTAACTTTTTAAAGAGGCTCTTATAGTTAAGTGGCTAGATGCTTGCCTGCTGCTAGCCTGCAGATCCTGCTCAGTTTAACATGGCAGATTTAATTTAGAAAAAAAAAAAAATCAGCTGACCTTCCCTCCCAGGTTGACTGAGATGGATCTATGTGCCGAAAGGCTGAATGGCTGCTGGGTATGCAGTCACAAGCATGGAATTTCTGGTTAGTGGGAGGGGTGATTCCAGGCATATGGACTCCTTCAGGACACCCCTGGCCTCTTTCCTAGCCAGGAAGCAATTCCAGAGAATCACCAGTGAAATAGAGTGCATAGTAAAGAAAAAGTAAAGATCCCTCACGCCCTTAGGCGCATCGGGCATATGGGAAAAGAACCCATATTTTTACAGACCAATCGGCACTCGGTGGGTAATGTGGTCAGCATTAGGCCAGCCGTCTTTACTTTCCCAGGACAGCCCATCCTGGTACCCATTTGAGGCTGGGTCGACCTGCGACGTCCCATACCACGATAAAAATCCACGCAGCCCATGTAGGTTTCGACTGCGGTACATTGGATTATGAGTCACTCGCAACGCCTTAGCCACGGACACCGCGAAACAGAGTGCATGCTCTGTGCTAAACATCATCTTCAGCTGGCAAGCATACAGGGAAGCTGGGTAATGTCATGTGAAGTAAAGGTAGCTTCTCTGATCTTGATCACATCAAGTGCCATGTGATTTATACAAATGTTTGTCTAGCACTATATGCTCGATAAGTCAAAATCATGAAAAGATTTCTGTACTTACTTACTTTCCGAGGATATTTTAAATTGTACTGTTTTCCTCAGATAACACTGGAATGGGAAAATAAGCTCAAGAATTTAATCAAGATGACAAACCGCAGGACTAATGGTTGGCTTGCAACACAAGCTACCCTGCCTGCTATTGGTCAGACAAAGTTTGCCACATTAACATATGCTGTGATTGGTGGGACTCTGGGACATTGGGTTGAGGAGCAAGCAATTATGCTCGATGATATTACCATAACACCTGGCAGCTGTCCACCTTTCAGTAAGTTTTAGTCTAATTATGCAATTCACATGTAAATTGGAGCTCATATTCATTTAAAGTTTACTGGTTACAAAGACTTCATAGTTTCTAAGCATTCATGGTTAGTAAACAATTAACATTTTTGAGTGTAGTCAATTTTGTTTCATTTTAATCAATTGCTTCTGTAGTATGCATCTGACAAGATACAGCGAAATACAATAAATTGTGCAGTCTATTTTTGTGTCGTCTGTGTTCCAATTCTTAGGCATTTGATGTATCATATTTCATTACCATGAAAAAATATCAGTCCAAATGAGTAGAACTAATCAGGCGCCAGTTATGAATTATAACGTCATTATGGTTAAAAAGCAATTCTTTTCCCCACAGTAACAATCCTTCTTCCTTCAGTGCTATTATTTACAAATATATTGACCCTTTCCCTCTCATAAAAACTCTGCAGCTGCAAACAAAACTAAATAGGTTTAATGGGGGATTGGACAAAACCATGAAGCCACAACATCTGTCACACAGTGATGTGTCATCGATGGACATTACACATCAGGCCAAAATGTGCAGCCTAGTTGTAAACAGTAGTGTAGACCGATGGTTCTGTTCATCAGGGTGTAAGATCTGGCTGGGGATTTTCATAAAAATTATGGCTGAACAAAACTGAGCTTTTTCTCTACAATGTTAGTCATGAGGATGGAAGTGGGCAATCACTGCAGCTCTGTAGTGGAAAGCAGAAAATAGTTACCAGAGGAACTATTGTATCTGATTTTCAGTCAGCACTGCAGAAGGTTCAAAATGGACTAATGTGTGCATCTGGCAAGGAGAGGAAGAGAACAATGTGTATTATCAGTGTGCAGTGGGTACAGTTAGCATCTGCACCTTCAGACATTTGCTGCGGAATCATCTATGGTTATGCCCCATGTTCTCTGATGTTGATTTTTAAATCAGTAATCACTAATCTGTTGTAAACAATAGCTTGTGAACTGTCCTTTGAAGGATGAATGCAGAAGAAGAAAATACTGATAAGCACTTAGCTCTTTTTTCCCCCTGTTTCTGTTGCAGTTTGTCCTGCTGGTTTTCTGCTGTGTGAGGATGAAGCTTACTGTGTGAGTCAGGACAAGATCTGTGACAGACAGATAGATTGCAGCAGAAGTACTGACGAAAACCATTGTGGTAATTCGGATGACTGAACAAATTTTTTTTTTTACACAATGACTTTATAACTGTCATCTCTTTATAAGTGTCATCACTTTATACCTGTCATCTCTTTATAAGTGTCATCACTTTATACCTGTCATCTCTTTATAAGTGTCATCACTTTATACCTGTCATCTCTTTATAAGTGTCATCACTTTATACCTGTCATCTCTTTATAAGTGTCATCACTTTATACCTGTCATCTCTTTATAAGTGTCATCACTTTATACCTGTCATCTCTTTATAAGTGTCATCACTTTATACCTGTCATCTCTTTATAAGTGTCATCACTTTATACCTGTCATCTCTTTATAAGTGTCATCACTTTATACCTGTCATCTCTTTATAAGTGTCATCACTTTATAACTGTCATCTCTTTATAAGTGTCATCACTTTATAACTGTCATCTCTTTATAAGTGTCATCTCTTTATAACTGTCATCTCTTTATAACTGTCATCTCTTTATAACTGTCATCTCTTTATAACTGTCATCACTTTATAACTGTCATCACTTTATAACTGTCATCACTTTACAACTGTCATCACTTTACAACTGTCATCCCTTTACAACTGTCATCCTTTTACAACTGTCATCACTTTACAACTGTCATCACTTTACAACTGTCATCCTTTTACAACTGTCATCCTTTTACAACTGTCATCCCTTTTACAACTGTCATCCCTTTACAACTGTCATTCCTTTATAACTGTCATCCCTTTATAACTGTCATCCCTTTATAACAATCACAACTTAACCATAAATAGACCCACTGCCTCTCTAACAAGCATGCCATTAAATCAGCTAATTCGGGATTCACTTTGACATCCGAGTGCATCTGCCTGAGAGGGTAAAAAAACAAAAAAAAGTCTGCATACAAATATGCTAGATATGTAAGATGGATGTGCATGGAAAACTGTTCTGGAACAAGAGTAAAGTCTTGAAGTGTTTAAACAACCAGAACGAGAAGGTAGTTTTCAAGACCGATTAAAAATTGTTCAGTCATTAGAGAACTTAGTTTAGGGTCATAAGGTTTAAGATAACTATCAGGCTCAACACTCCCCCCCCCCCCTTTCCCCCCCCCCTCCCACCTGACCTACACTGCTTTAAAAGTGGTAAATATGGGCAGTAAAGATTGTTTATATATATATATATATAAAGGTTATCAGGAAATGATTTGGAATGAAAGGTAGTCAGGCTTATGTTGATCACATGACACACCAAGTGCTTGATGGTTATGTTAAAAATATAAAGCTAGTTTCATTTACCTTTTAAAAAAAAAAAAAAAACACGAAAATGCTCAGAAGGCTAATGTGCTAGTGTGGAACCTCCCGCTTGGTAAGAAGGGGGTACCAGACATATGGACTTCTTCGAGACATCTCATGTCTCTTCCCTAGCAAGCAGGCAATACTAGGGTGACTGTTTACTTCCTGTACTGAGAGAATTTTTCTATGGATTTTGTTCCTAAAAAATAAGAAGAATCCTAGCTGGAGCTGCAAAGTGCTTGCTGTCTGTTTAATAAATCTTCTGTGAATCCTGAATAGCTGAACAAGCCAAACAATTTATGGAGACCCAGGAAGTTGGTTTTACATAAAGAGTCCTTACAGTTTCTTAGACAGACAAAAAGAGGGGATTTACTTGGAGACAACTTATGCCAAACGTCAGAAAGAAAACCATCATGTTTTATCTTGATATGCGAAGGAAACTGGAACATGTGACCACCACTTGAAAGATCTGTGGAAAGAGAGGCAGAGGAAGACAGCACTAGAGGATTCTAGACAAGAGGATTCTAGACAGCCTTTTGTTATCGCATGAAGGGATGTCAAAACACAAACTTATACCTGCTGTTGAAGATCATAGATTGTGGAGACACATGATAACCTATGCCAGTCAGCAAGGCATTTAATGATATGCTTTTACAAGAAGTTAAACCAACAGCAGCATTTGCTGGAAATGAGTCTACTAGGCAGTTTTACAGTGTTTTGGCATTAATCATCATCATCAAGTGCCTTGCCGGCTGGCATAAGCATTCATGCATCTCCACAGATCTGTCTTTGGTGTTCTGGATCAGTTCCACTGATGATATTCCTCCATGCCACTGTCTCCAGCCATCCAACATCATTTCTCTGTCTGCCTCTTCTACCAGTGATCTTTCCAGTCAAAACATTTTCCAGTGCTCCTTTTCCCATCACAGGACTGAAGAACTTTGTCTCCTTCTCATTATTGTATATAATGTTCTACTTACATTTGCCATTTCCAGGCAATCATTGTTTGTTATTCTGGCAGTCCAAGGTATTCACATTCTTCTCAAGAACCACATCTCAGTAGCCTCCAAACTCTTCTTAATTTGTTTGCTCACATTCCAAGATTCATTGTCTTCAGAATAGTCAGTTTACAAACCATTTTTGAAACTAATAAATAGTTGTTTGCTTTCAAATCCCCTACAGCTACTTATAACCTGGTATATCAGAGTTAAGAAACTGCATTGAAAGACCTGTAATTCACATATGTCAGAAGTGGGTGAACATTAATATTGTAATATATTTTATCTTCAAAAACACAGAATGCACTGAGTCAGAGTTCAAATGCCCTAATGGTCCATGTATTCCTAAGGAGAAGATGTGTGACTTGACTAGGCATTGTCCTGATGGAAGTGATGAAGGCACAATTTGTGGTAGGTAGTTTGTCCTTGGAATTCTTAGAACGGATAAAGAAATTAAGAAACAGTAAAATGTCACTGTTCAAAACCGGTATAATGCGATGGAAATTATACAGACTATTGATGAACAGTGGATATGTTGCGTGAGTCAATTCAGCAGACATCAAAAGAGACAATCCCACTAAGTTGCAAACAAGAAATGGATGTCAACCGAAATTCTGCAGTTGATGGATGAAAGAAGGAAGAAAGAGAATGATAAAGAATACTCTAGAATACAAAAAAGAAATAGTGAACAAATGCAAAGTGGCCAAAGAAGCCTGGCTGAATCAAATGTGTAAGGAGATTAGGGAAAATCACAGGAAAGACTCACATTCTATGTACCAACAGATAAATATGTTCACAGGAAAGATGACACGTAACAGCACTGGATGTTTGAAATCAAAAGATGGTGACTTATTAATGGGACATAGTTAATATAATTAACAGATGGACAAAGTATATAGGGGAATTGTCTGATGATAATAGACCAGACATAGAACTGCAGACCAACAATGATGGTCCACCAATAATGACTGCAGAAGTTGAGGATGCAATACATCATATGAAGAAAGGAAAAGCACCTGGGCCAGACAACATCTCACTGGAAGAAATCGAAGCACTGGGAGATTTTGGATTTGAAATAATAACTAAACTTTTTAATGATATTTATAATAGTGGGTATATTCCAAATGACCTTTTAAAATCCATATTTATACCTCTGCCAAAGAAACCAGGCACTATAAAATGTGAAGACCATTGCACAATAAGTCTTATGAGTCACATGACTAATATTTTACTGATAATAATTAGGAGAAGAATAAGAAACTAAATTAAACCAGAAATCAGCGATGAACAATGTGGATTTGTAGAAGGAAAAGGTATAAACAATGCCATATACATCCTAAAGACATTGTCAGAAAGAGCTATAGAAGTAAAGACTGATTTGTATTTATGCTTCATAGACTATACAAAAGCATTTGACTGTGAAGCATGAAGAAGTAATCAAACTGTTAGAAAAATTAAACATTTATGGGAAAGATCTACGTATAATAAAGAATATGTATTGGCAGCAAACAGCAGCTATAAGAATAAACAACGGTTTAGGTACGTTTCAAAGCATAAAGAGGGGTGTACGACAAGGATGTGTACTTTCACCTGATTTGTTTTCAATATACAGTGAATATATAATGAGATCTTTAATTGATATGCCCGGAATTGTGGTTGGTGGGCACAATATAAACAATTTACGTTATTCTGATGACACAGTGTTGATAGCAACAAGTCAGAAAGAATTACAGGAAATGATAGACATTGTGGTGTTAAAAAGTGGAAGAATGGGCCTCAGTTTGAATAATGGGAAGACAGAAGTAATGGTGGTATCAAAGAAACAAATTATTCCTAAATGTGTAATAAAAGTCAATGGTGTTATTTTAGGACAAGTACAGAAATTTAAGTATCTGGGCACATGGATAACATCAGATGGAAGATGCATATCTGAAATAAGAAACAGAATTGGACAGGCAAAAACTGCATTTTATAAAATAAAAAACAACTTGTGCAATATATCCTTGTCATTGTGTTAGAAAAAGAATTCTTGCTTGCTACATACATCCAGTTTTAATATATGGATGTGAATCCTGGACAATCAATAGGCAGGCCAAACAATTTTTAGAAGCCTCAGAGATGTGGTTTTACAGAAGAATGCTTAGAATACCTTGGACAGCCAAAAAGAGCAGCCAAGAGATTTTGAAAGAGGCGGGAGCCGGAAAACTTATCACAGACATCAGAAGGAGACCGTCATAATTTTTCGGCCATGTTATGAGAAGAGGGAAAATAGAACATGTTGTGACCACTGGAAAGATCTGTGGAAGGAGGGATAGAGGAAGACGAGAGAAGATGCTTGACAGTCTTGCTGCATGGCATGGAGGTGTGTCGGCACACGAACTGATACATGGCTGCAGGAGATCGCAGATTATGGAGAGGTATGATCGCTCACCCCAGTTCGCAAGGCACCTGATGATGATGATGAGTTTTTCCTTTGTCTACTTTCTTTCTCTTTTACTCCTTTCTTTCTTTCTGTCTGTCTGTGTCTGGCTGTCTGTCTCTGGCTGGCTGTCTGTCTCTGGCTGGCTGTCTGTCACTGGCTGTCTGTCTGTCACTGTCTGTCTGTCTGTCTCTGGCTGTCTGTCTGGCTGTCTGTCTGTCTCTGGCTGTCTGTCTGTCTACGGCTGTCTGTCTCTGGCTGGCTGTCTGTCTCTGGCTGGCTGTCTGTCTCTGGCTGGCTGTCTGTCTCTGGCTGGCTGGCTGTCTGTCACTGGCTGTCTGTCTGTCTCCGGCTGTCTGTCTGTCTCCGGCTGTCTGTCTGTCTCCGGCTGTCTGTCTGTCTCCGGCTGTCTGTTTGTCTGTCTGTCTGTCTGTCTGTCTGTCTTATTTCTTCTATGTCAGCTTAGTTCATTCCAGTCAGAATTCACTGAGATTGCAAACTAATTAGGTAAATGAGTTATGCAGTTTTGGGTTGCATTCCCATTTCATAAAGATGCTGTAATTTTTAAATACCAATATTGTTTTCAACCATTTGACATTGTCGTCATTATAATTCTATTGTGCTGTTATCCATATCATTGATAGAATCCAATTTAGCACCTGTGACACCATGGATGGAATCAGCCCAGCACCATAAGCCTCTATCAACATTTATCTTAGAGGAATTTGTGGGCATTCTTGTCTCCTCAGGTCCTTTATTTCCCGTTTAAGTGTTTTTTTTAGTGATTCTGTTTGTGGTACTTAAGGATGTGCTCAATATATATATATATATATATATAAATGTGGCCATCTTCTGTGTCAAGTCCTTATACCAGCAGTTGTTTAACATGCTCTTATTTCTTTGCTCTGCTTGAATTCATCCCCCTTTTTTTTTTTAACTTTTCTTATATATTCTTGTATATGCAATGTTTGTGTCTGTTATCAGCCATTCTCTCTATATGGTCCAACTATTGCAGTCAAGATGCAAGTAATTAATGGTGACTTAAAACTATGAATTTAATTATTGCTTCTCACTCTCCATTCTCTGCTGTTTTCGAAAGTTTTATTATGGATCCAAAAATTCATCTTCAGACTGTGATCCAGACTGATCAAAAGTTTTCAATAAGGCTTTGTAGTAACCTAATGTTGCCAGACAGATTCCATGGATCAGTAACATTCACTAACTTTGCATTGCCTGTTCTGCAGATCATAAGAATTTATTAACTCTTTCAGTACAGAGAATTGCATCTTCTTCTTTTTAAAGTCTATGCCCTGTGGTGTTGGTAGTCATGTCTATCCACAACCTTCTGTCTCGTGTAATTTTAATCAGCTCTGACACAGATGATCTTCCATGCCATGATGTCAAACTGTCCAACATCTTTTCTCTCGATCTCCTTCTGCCTCTCCTCCCCTCCAACTTTCCTACTGTCCTTGTGCACTTATTTTCTTCTTCTTATCACATGACCAAAGACTGAAGCTTATCTCTTTGTGAAGTGCTACTGTTTAAATATTCTCAAGTTCTGAGTGGTATGTGATGAGTCACTGCTTTCAGTTGTCCACTGGGCAGGAAAAAACAGTACAACTTTGAGTATTGTTTTTCACAGTTCCAGCTTAACAGCAAACTGATCACCTTACAACTGCTCCATTCCTGTGCCAGCGAGAACCATACATAATACTCACCCCTGTCTCTTTTTAAAAATGCACCCACAAACCATGGCCAGAAGCAAATTTGCCATAGAATTTAGCATGGCAACTTTGAATAGGTTTTTGATTTTTTTTTTCTACAGGCTACAAATATTCAGTAACATGATGTTGTGTGATATATTCCATAGATAGAAACAAATCAGTAACCTGTTGTGACTTGTTCCACAGATGTGAAAAACTCTGTAAGCTGTGACTTTGAGGATGCATTTTTGTGTGGATATAAAGTGAATACATCACAAACTGTTTTTCACTGGGCACATGCTAGAGGCAAAACTGGAGATGCATACACTGGGCCCAGCTCTGACCACACATCCATTGTTAATGACATGTTGAATGGTAAGCTCCATTTCATTTTTATCAATCAGCCTGGAATAATTATCAGAGAATATACATTTTTTTTTTTAAAAATTGTTTCTCAATTTTAGTGGATGGAAAACTGTTCAGTTTTTCTAAATAATAAAAAGTAGGCTTAGTATTTAGTACTCTAAATAACGGGAAACAAGCATACTGTTGAGCACTCTAAATAACGGGAAACGAGCATACTGTTGAGCACTCTAAATAGCTATAAAACATTGTTTAGTATTTTAAGTAAGAAGCAGAAACAGGTATATTATCTAGCATTCTAAACGACAAGAAGAAATAGACATATTAACTAGTATTCTAAATGAAAAGAAGAAACAGGGATATTATCCAGTATTCTTAACGATAAGGAAGAAATACATATTGTGTAGTACCATAAATAAGAAGAAACTGGCATATTATATATTACTGTAAATAGCAATATTAGAGGCATTTTGTTTAGTATTCTAAATAAGAAGAAACTTGCATTTTGCCTTGTTATTGTGGGTCAGATCTGAATTTAATTTAGAATAGATATATTGTTGGATAATCCAGTGTAGAAGGGTTAGGAGTACATGAGTTAATGCTCATGAGCTAACCCGAGACTTTTGTCTGTATAGATAAGTGCCTGAGGGTGAAGCAAGAATCACCGTGAGGGGAATTAAGCCAGGTCATAACCGACGAGCTACATTTGGGTTTATGTGACAAAAAGCATTGTCACATGGAATGGACTTGGACAAGTCTCAAGGAGAGTTGTGTGGGAAAACTGGCCTACTGCGAGGACGTGTTGTGTTCCTTGCTTGTGTTCTGGCTCATGACTGTATGTCAGAGCGACTTAGTCTCAGGCCAGTTTATCATGAAAGTGCCTTTATAATTCAATGTATTATTCAAGAGCAAGACTGAGTATATATAGTTAGATAGACTGGCTGCTTCTACACCACTTGGTGGTAAACTGATACATGACAAGCTAGGTGTTTTCAAGGCCCTTTGGAGTGAACAGTGCAGGGGCACAATTAGATTAAGTCTTAAGAGAATGATGCAACAGTGATCGATCTGGTGATCTGGCCGGCACTCCACACTCAGAGGAAAGGCAAGATGGACATACAATCAGACTGCTACTGTACACCAGAGTTGAAACTCTACGCTGGCCGCTGCAGAGGAGTACGAAGCACTTATGGGAAAGCCCTGTGGGACTCAGCTCATGCTACAGACACCAACTGCTGGGTATTGTGAACTCTGAACAATGAATGTTTGTCTCCATGCTGTTGCAGGTCACTATGTTATTGCCGACAGTCAGCTTCATGGCAACTACTCATCACTGGAGTCCATCCCTTTTGTTTCAACTGGAACTGGGCTTGAATTTTATTACCACGCCTGGTATTTTCTGACGTCTGAACTGATGACAGGGCGACTTTTACTGATTGTCACATTCAAGGATAACGGAACTCAGGTTTGTGATGACTTAGTTTATGTTTAAAGCTTGAAAAATGGGCTTCGTTGCATCAGGTTTTATCAGATTTGGCTGTCTCTCTCCATACAGTGTGGCTAGCCACCTGTCATATCACCCCATTGCTGCAGTGATGATCCTCAGATCTCAATAAAAATTGCACCCATGAACTGAAGACAGTTTTTTATGAAACAAACTCATGACCTTCAGAGTGGTGTGCTTACCCATAGAGACTCCTGAACCCACCTGATCATTATTTGAAAGAAACAGTCTGAAAAAGAGCTGTTTTCCTTTGTGAATTCTCTAAAATATTTCACACTAAAGAAAATTAAAAATTTCTTGGACATATAGATCAGCGTCCTGTTTATCTCTTCCCATCAGTGTTACTACATGTAGTTGCTACAATGAGCTATAAGAAAAGTAAAGATCCCTTTTCACGCCTTTCGGCGCATCGGGCATATGGGCAGAGCGTCCCATATTTTTACAGACCATCAGCACTCTGTGGGTAATGTGGTCAGCGTTACGCCGGCTGTCTTTACTTTCCCAGGACAGCCCATCCTGGTACCCATTTTAGGCTGGGTCGACCTGCGACGTCCCATACCACAACAAAAATCCACGCAGCCTGCAGTGGGTTTCGATCGCGGTATGCTGGCTTACGAGTCAGACTCACAACGCCTTAGCCACACAATGAGCTATGACTGAAAATAAAGTAGGAATATTTTTAGAAAGTTAACTCTTTGAGTCCCAAGTAACACATCATACTTTCATAGGTTCCTAACTAGAAGCCCAATGAACACAACATGCGCCGATTTTAAGTCTTTTCTGACTACCTCTTGGGCCTCTGGTGCTAAACCCCCTGGGTCTCAAAGAGTTAACTAATTCATTAGCGCCCACCAGCTCACCATGAGTTGATAGTTTCAATTGACCTAATATACTTTTCTGAACTCCTTGTCCCATCCAGCTGCTACTCACTCATTCAGTCCCAGTTTGTACTTTTTATGTCCTCTAGTGCTGTTTTAACTCCTTGAACACCTTAGGATTCAACCCAGACCTCCTCTGAAGTCAGGATGCATTTGCTTGAGAAGCCAGGAACCGTTTGCATATAAATATGACACTTCTGTAAACCAGATGTGCATTTAACACTCATCTTTTGGAACAAGGTTAAAAGCTAGAAGTGAACAAACAACCAGAAATGTCTGCCAGAATTTACAGCCGATGAACACTAAGAAGACCTGGACCACACATTTAGCAGGAAACACAACTAACCATGATGTCTACTTCAGGGCCTCGCAAGTATTCACACTGAGACCTCCCAGAAAGTGACTAAATAAAGCCGTCCTTTGTTTGTTTCATGACGTTCCAGTAGTTGAGCTGAAAACTGACACTGCAGCACTCAGGACATTCCCAGAAGTGATCCGTTTCCATCTTCCCCAACCAACATAGATTTCTATGTCAGTGGTACCAGTGGCAGTCCTGACAGTATCCATCTTGCCTTTCCTCTGAGTTCTGAATGTCAGCCAGATCCCCTGGCCACTCCCTGCTGCATTAGTCTACTCAGACTATGATGAACTTGTGCTTTCACACTGTTCACGTGCTGCCACACTAGTGGTTCACTCGCTTCCAAACATTCCAGCAGGTTTTGGTAGAATGTTGATTGATGCACTGTTTTTTAGACTCATTAATGTAGATTTAATGCTGTAAGTAGAGCAGGACTGCAGAAGGTAACTGGTAATCTTGTGACTGTTGCAACATGCATAGATTGGTTAATGAAAACAGAGGTGGCTGGAGGTGAAATTATATCAAGAAGTAACTTGTCACAACACAAACTATGACTAGGAAGTGCAAGAGAGGGAAAAGAAAAATTCTGATTACTAAGATTAAATTCAAATTGATTGTCTTTGGCACCACAATAACATTTTACTAGGGTATCAAATCACCTCATTCAGAGAGCACATAATACAAATTTATTGGCAGTTGTAAAGATTAGATGAAATATACTATAGCCAAGGTTACACTGGCATGTGATAAAATTCATCAGAAAACCTTAGATTTAGTGTGCTTCATTAGTAATTTATTGGTAGCATATTTATATCTCCTCAGATTCAACTTTGGTCTGCTGAACCAAATAATCAAGATGTTTGGAAATTTGTGTGTCTGGACTTACCTCTTGGAAACATCAGTATCTCATTCGTTGCTCATCGTGGCTCAAGTTTTCGTGCTAACATTGCAGTAGATGATATCCTACTCTTGGATACCAACTGTAGCAACTCTCATACTGGTAAAAGTATTTTTCCTTTATACTTTAAGCTTGGAATCAACTGAATATGTTTAGTAAGCTGTGGCTTCTTCTTTATTAACCCTTCTGCCAAAATATTTCTATCACGAGGTCAGTAGCCTTGATAGAAGCTATTGTGCAGTCAGAATTGTTATCCACCTTACTGCTTTGTCTTAACTGAGTAGGGAACAGGCTACATTGCAATAGCTTACAGTACAGTGCTGAAGTATTTATCTATTCAGTAATTTCAGACAGTAAGTTGCCAGGGCACATCTCCAAGTTTCCTACACCATACATATTTAACATAATGTTGGTTAAGTGTGCCTGCCCATAGTCTCAAGATGGTTTACTGCTCCTTGATGAAGCATGCATGTCTTTGGGGAGAAGGAAGTGATCGAATCAGGATTGAAGCTATGAAAGAGAAAAAGTATATACAAAACCTATACTAAATTACATCAAAGAGAGGAAAATAGTTTGTCCACTTAGAGAGAATGCTTTGGATGTCATACCATACAAGGCATAAATAAACAAGTAGAGAGGAATATAGGCATGAGGTAGACAAAGAACAATATGGAAAAATATCAGAAACTCAACAACAGCACAATATGTCTATGGTCTAGGCGCCCAGAAAAGCAAGAAGTAGAACCTTATGTCTTCCTCGACACTTGAAGTGGTACAAGAGGAAGGGAAGAAGAGGATAATTACCTTTTTAAATCATTCAAATGTCACTACTAGAATTCCATAAGGCTTGAGTCTCAAAACCAAAAAACTTCTTCAGCATTCTGAGTTCTTAAGGTTTATTTCAACCGCCTCCACTTATATCTCTGGTACCTTTTGGACTACAATCATTCAACTGCCTTGTGTAGTTTTTACCTTTCTGTCAATTGACATTCTCTTAATATGCCCCAGCCATTTGTCTAATTAGCCATATGATGCCAATGATCAATGGTGATTTAAACAAATTATGAATTTTGTTGTTGCTTCTCACTTTCCACTCCCCGCTATTTGTATCTTTGATTTAATTTCATCCAAAATTGTGGCTAAGTTATAAGTGTCATCAAAAATACCAAAAACATGAGTGTATCCTTTCCACAATGGAGGTTTGTTGCAGCAGATTAGTGCATCCACTTTCAATTTGGGAATATTACACGGTGTCATCCCAATCTCTTACACTTTGGGAATATTACACAGTGTCATCCCAATCTCTTACACTTTGGGAATATTACACAGTGTCATCCCAATCTCTTCCACTTTGTGACTCCATTGCCTGAAAGCACTCATGATCTTTTTCTAAACCATCCCTCCTGGAAAAGAAACATACGCCTGAAATGTTCTTTTTATATTTGCAGACAATCCATATGGGAGAATAATTGGCAGAGTTTCTCCAACAATGGAAACAACAAAGAAGCCAGGTACAGTTTTATTGTCTTTTATAAATTTTCAACTGACATGAATATTGTTTTTTCTTCAAACTCTGTGGCTCCTTTGTTTTCTGGATGTATGGGACTTTTTCTTTTTGTACACATTTAGGTATGTGACCCCTGTGTTAGATTTATATTTATGTGATCCATTCTTTGTTATATGAGTAGGACTTTTTATTTTGGTCAAATTTCTAGATGCACATGAATGTTCTGTTATATTTCTGTGTGCATTTGATATTTTTTTAAATTTTTGGGGTATGCATGATTTGTATTTATTATACTGCTGAATACATGTGATAATTCTCTGCTGTATTCCACGGTACATGTGACCCTTCTATGTAACATTCCTTGAGCATCTTGTTTTTGCCTGCTATATTCCTCTATACAGAGGACCTTTCTTTGTTTTTTTTTTCTTAGATCATGTATTTTAATCTCCTGTATGCATAGTCTCTCATCCTCAAAAAGAAAAAAAATATATATTGTCCGTTCTGATGCAGGTAGCGAGTTCTCTTTGTGAATATCATTCTTTCAGGAAATCTTTATTCTGTTCTTATTTTATACAACCACATCTAGGCATCTACCACATTGTTCTAGTTGAGCCGATTCAAAAATCGCCATAACAGCACTCAGGGCATTCTAAGTGCTCTTTCCCCATCTTCAGCAACAGTGCAAAGTTTCAATACCAATGCTGCCAACAACAATCTGCCTTTCCTCTTAGCGCTGAGTATCCACCAGGTCACTTTGTAACTCCTCACTGCATCACTCTCACTAGACTGATGATGATTTTGCTGTTCTAAATGGTATATGTGCTCCCATAAGGCCTCAACCATGCCTGCCTTATCCTGCATCAATATTCTACGAAGTTGTGCAGATCTAGCCAGTCTACCTACCTGTTCATTCCCCACTACACAGGCATGACCAAGAGAAAAGATTGGACAGTCCTGTATGCTCTACCTGTGACCTCCCTAAACTCTCTTTCTCGCTCAACGATATCTCACAGATATTTTTCATCCTGTAAAATGTCACTTCTAAATTCACCTTCCATCTGTTCTCAGGGAATGTGAGTAAACAACTGATATCACAACACACTGGACATTCCCATAAGTGTTATGTCTTCATCTTCAGCAGCCAGTTCCAATTCTGATAGTACCAGTAGCACTTTGATTATACATGTGTCTTGCCTTTTCTCTGAGTTTTGGGTGTTGGCCAGATCTCCTGGTCATTCCCTGCTGCACCATTGTCTTTAGACCATGATGATCTATTTGTTCACACTTCAGCATTACTCACTTGCTGCCAGAGCCCATGACCACTACCTTCAGCATTGCTTACTTGCTGCTAGAGCCCATGACCACATCTACCTTCAGCATTGCTCACTTGCTACCAGAGCCCATGACCACATCTACCTTCAGCATTGCTCACTTGCTGCCAGAACTCATGACCACATCTACCTTCAGCATTGCTCACTTGCTGCCAGAGCCCATGACCACATCTACCTTCAGCATTGCTCACTTGCTGCCAGAGCCCATGACCACATCTACCTTCAGCATTGCTCACTTGCTGCCAGAGCCCATGACCACATCTACCTTCAGCATTGCTCACTTGCTGCCAGAACTCATGACCACATCTACCTTCAGCATTGCTCACTTGCTGCCAGAGCCCATGACCACATCTACCTTCAGCATTGCTCACTTGCTGCCAGAGCCCATGACCACATCTACCTTCAGCATTGCTCACTTGCTGCCAGAGCCCATGACCACATCTACCTTCAGCATTGCTCACTTGCTGCCAGAGCCCATGACCACATCTACCTTCAGCATTGCTCACTTGCTGCCAGAGCCCATGACCACATCTACCTTCAGCATTGCTCACTTGCTGCCAGAACTCATGACCACATCTACCTTCAGCATTGCTCACTTGCTGCCAGAACTCATGACCACATCTACCTTCAGCATTGCTCACTTGCTGCCAGAGCCCATGACCACATCTACCTTCAGCAGTCCTCACTTGCTGCCAGAGCCTATCACATCTACCTTCAGCATTGCTCACTTTCTTCCAGAGCCCATGACCACATCTACCTTCAGCATTGCTCACTTGCTGCCAGAGCCCATGACCACATCTACCTTGGCATGCATCAGTTCATCATCAACTTACGGTGTGTCTGCTTGTTCATTTCCCAACACACTTGCAAATTGTGGAGAAAATATTCAAAGAATACTATCTACCTGTGACCCCAGAAGCAATTATCTGCCACTTAACACAAAGCAGGCCTGTCTTTATCTCAGAATGCTTTGAGTCTGTGAATGTTAAGAGTTAAAATATCTGTTGTGTTGGGTTTTTTGTTGTTGTTGCAAACTTAGTTGTTTTATTTTCTTTTCTTGAAGGTTGTTCAGTGACAGAAAAAGCATGCCGAAATGAGATGTGCCTTCCAGCGCAAATGTTTTGTGATGGATACAATGACTGTCCAGATGGTTCTGATGAATTTGATTGTTGAGACAGCATCACATCTTCCTCATTTGTCAAGATTCTCATTTTTAAAGATAATTCATTTAACGCTTTCAGTCCCAGAATCACAGATAGTTGTTACTCCAACACTTTGTATCCTAAGTTTTTGTACTTTAGTCTTTATCACATGATTGTCGGCAGGGCCCCCTGGGGTCCATGGAACAAAGTTCAGGGGTCGTCTGTAATATCATTCACACACACAAAACAAACACCTCAACTTAGGATGTAAATTTTTTTAAATATTGATTCTAATATTACCAGACTGCCAAAACTTCCCATATTTAACTTTTGACCCCTGGTGTAGGCAAATGATTCTTTGAGCCTGAGAATTTAGGGCCACTTGTGAGGTTCTGATCACAGTGGGCAGCGGACTGGTCAGCGGACACTGCTGAATCAGAAGTTCCGCAAATGGTTCATGACAATTCTTACCCAGGTGATGTGATTATGTATACAGATGGCTCTGTGTTGAGAGGCAGATAAAGCTCATGGGGGTTCTTAGCAAAAGTGAATGGACACGGCTTAGTGCAGCAAAGCCTGGCAAATGACACCATAGCATCTAGTTTGAGAAGGGAGGCGGAGGCAGTCACTGCAGCCTTTCCCTGGCTTGAGAACCAGCTGTACACACATGAATAATTGTAACCACTCAGAACACATCGAGAAATGTTGAGAAAGGTGAAAGGGTTAAAAGTTATGATAACAGTGTCAGTGTTTCTTCAAAGGATGTGGCAAGGACATTTCAGATGTTTATCTTCTGTGGAGTATAAGCATATTGCAGTCAGCTGATTGTGTGTCATGCTGTAACAAGTATTTCTTCATACTTGCTGTACCAATTTATCATTCTTACTGTAAACACTCAAATGTTACTGTGGCAAGCAAATCATATGTTTACCCAAAAAAATCATCCCATATTTTTTTGCGTCAAGTGTTTCATAATACTTGCTATACCAACTTATTATATGTTGCTGTAGTTTGCAACTCAAATGTTGCTGTGCCAATCCAACTCATAAGAGGATGTGCTATTCAACTTATACTGATATACCATTTAACTCATTATATACTGATGTACCATTCAACTCATTA